CCGACCAAATTATTTAAAGGCTGACCAATTATATACTTCTCATGAAACATTAGTATTTTGTGTAACCTCCTTCTGCATTTAATACGTCTTGTAAACGTTTCCTCATGGAACCAACTACCTTCTCACAAAATCCTCGACCTCTGAACGATTCCCAAACATCATTTGCATGTCGCCTTAAGGCTTCTGTTGTTCGACATTGATTCCCATTCCACTCTTGCACCATTTTACCCCAAAGGTTTTCGATGAGATTGAGGTCTGGACTTTTTGGTGGTAGTTTGATTAAAGTTAGTTCTCTCTGTTCATTAATCCATGTCTGTACTGTACGAGCATTATGTACTGAGCTGTTGTCTTGTGGGAATGTAATTTGTTGTTCTGGATAAAAAACTTGAGCTGTAGGAAGAAAAGTATCTTCCAGAAGTTCCTTATAATTCATTGCATTCATTCGTCCACAAGCTCACCAAGACCATCTTTGCACATCCATCCCCAAAATCCAATTGAAATACGTCCACTCCGGCGATTAGGCACATTTGTTCTAAGTAACGTGTGTTTTCGGGTCGCCACAAACTTAATCGCCCATTATCTGATGAGCAGAAAACCTTTTCGTCCATGAAAATAACGTTTTGAAAATTAAAATTTAAATAATTAGCTGCAAATTGTAGCCGCTGCATTTTGTGCCTTGGCGTGAGAGTTGGTTTTCTTGCCGGTACTCTATTTTTTAAACCTCCTTCTTTTAATCGTCTTCTAATGGTGCTAGTGGATATTTCGAATGTGCTTGAAAATTGTGTAGTGTTTATAAATCTGTCATTTTTGGCTTTATCTATAATAGCTATGTCTTGGTTATTTGTAGTAATACGCGGGCGACCAAATGAAACATGATTATTTAATGTTTCTCCTTGCTGCCATCTTTCTAGCCATAAATATACAGTATTTCTCTGAAATAAATACAATTTTATACTTTGTGAATAAAGTTTCATGTTTTGTGGGCAATTGATTTTTAGCATTTTCCTCCGTGATACGTACGGCTATCGGCGATATCTTTTACGGATAAACCATCATTTTTTAGTTGTATTATTTTATGTTTCATTTCCGCATCAATACGGTACGAACTCATATTAATTATAGTTAATTTATGGTATGAACTAATACGTAAGCAAGCTGCTTGAATTTATTTGTGCATGACACATGACAGAGGTGATAAGAATAAAAACTGGAAAGTGTTTAACTGCCAGCGTCATCTTATTATAAATAAATAATTAAGAGGTCCTATTAAAATTGTTCAGATATTTTTGAAAAGTTGTATGTTCAGATATTATTGACAGGCATCTGCTCAGATATTATTGAAGTAATGAATGATCAGATATTTAGGGTCACTTGTAGTGTATAGAACTTATTGACATTTTAACTGTTCAGATGTATTTGGTCATCTTGTATGATCAGATATATCTGATGGCGACTGTACGTAAAGAGACGACTATATAACTGACCATGTATTTGAATATTACAAATATTTTATATTAAATCAGTGTAAAACAAGTATTACAACAAAATTTGCATCAAATAATCAAATATTGATTATATACCTAACGAAAAAACGATACTTTACGTACTATAAGTATTTTATTCGCATTATTTCACGGAGCTCTGCTGCATCTTGACTTTTCAACGGTCCGCGCGTGATTGCGAACCAAGAAGTGCTTGAGTGGTGTTCAAGCACTTCTTGATTGGGACACATTTTGAGCGCACGTGGTATTTAATATCGTTTCTTTATTTAGACTGCTGCCATTATATGACATTAACTTAAAATTTTAATTCGATTGTCTTTTGACAAAGGCCTCCTCTAGTTTCCCAAAGCTATTTGTCCATGGCCTTCCTACTCCATGTTTCTCCTGCACCCACTTTAATTTCAGTACTTTACGAGTAGCAGTTAACAATTTGTCAATTCCATCAGGTTGCGAAGCAGCTGAAGGAACAACAGATGGTTATGCGTGGCCACCGAGACAACTCCATGATCCACGAGCTCAACCGATACATCCCCACCGCTGCAGCCTTCGGAGGCCTCTGCATCGGAGCCCTATCAGTGCTCGCTGACTTCCTCGGAGCCATCGGCTCGGGCACAGGAATACTGTTGGCCGTCACCATCATATACCAATACTTCGAGATCTTCGTCAAAGAGCAAGCAGAGATGGGAGGCATGAGCACTCTCCTCTTCTAAGTGCAGAAACCGGGACTGACTTCCAACAGTGATGTGACATGTGAACAATAATAGTTTAAAGTTACTCGTCAATTTTTTTAACAGCCGTTGTTAAGCTAAATGTTCGAAGTCTGTTACAGTAAATCAGAGTATTTAAGTAAAAATAAACAGTATAATCAACGTGTTTCTTTTTAGAAAAAATTAGTTGGTTATTCTATGACCAGTGTAGATAGATTCGTTTCACCGAATGTTGCATGTTACACGGGTGATTATTAGGTGTATATAATTTTTATAATATCCATTCATCAATCGGACACGAATTATTACCATAGTTCGCGTTTTGGTTCACGGCGTGCAAGAAGAATAGTTTTCAATGAAAACTAGTTTTGAATAGAACGAACGACACTGTTGTAATAGTAAAATATCGTTAATGGTAATATCCGCTTTGTAACATGTCGCATTGCAAAAAAGAATAGGCGAAGGTCAGTCCTAGTTACTTTAGAATCGTCATCTCCGACGCGAAAGTGCCGCTCGATGGATTTCTCCTTTTTTTTAAGTTCTCGAAGCGAGAGACAGTTTCACGCCGGCTCAGATTGTGTGCGTGCCGCCGTGTGGGTTATGTGCTAATTTATATGAAATGAACTTTATAATAAAATTAATTTACGAGAAGTACACAAGTTGTTTTTTGTATCGACCTCCCGTGCTCACACTCTGTTGTTTTGTTTCTCTACCTAGATTGTATGTAAGCCCTTCGTTAGGTATGTTAAGAATGCCGTTCAGCTTAACTTGAAATTAATTTTAAGTTTGTGCTTTGAACAGTATGTAAAAGACGTATTATATATACCCTATGAGAAGTATTGTAATATTGTGTTGTGAATTGTTGATTGCATATCAGATCTTTAAGCACGTATTAAAAGTTGTGTTTCTCATTCGATCGGAATGATTATGTGATAGATTATACTTATTACGTTGACACGCGTCATGACAATCGATAAATTAAACATTTTATAAAGAAAATACATATATTTTATTTTATCTAACTAGAATATTTTATTTATTTATGTTCCTTTAGTGAATCAGGGTAACAGGATATTATTTTACTAAAAGGGCAGAACATTAAACAACAAAGTAGGTTTGTTATTATTTAACTTTATTCGCCTCACTAGACATGCAAATACAAAGACAAAAAAAAAACAATCACGAATCCCTCAAACCTTATAACAAAAACTCACGACTAAACATATACGATTGGTAACAAATATATTTACAGACGGCTGAATTAACAAACTAGTATTACGAACCATTCATAATAATAAATCGTGTGGAATATAAATTTGAATTATAATACATATACTTACAATGAGATCTTACAGAACCCAGATCGACAAATTGGTAAGAGATCAACGGAACAGCATCGCCGAAGATTCTTTATCTAAATTGAATCTAAGGTCACATACACATGGCACGACTACCCTACTAATAGGCACTTGGTAGCGAGTAGCGACATAAGTTATTGCTTCAAACTCTGAGGAATCCCTTACCAACACGAGAGCGATCCCTCCAAGGACGTAATACAGAAACACAAATGGAAGACTTCATTCTAAGAAGGCCTACCAGATCATCCACTTCATTAATGTACGAGCAGTTTGAGTATACAGTTAACCGGTATTTGTGAGATTAATTTGTACTATTAACGGTAGTATGTTAGGTCTTACTTATTTATTTAGGTAGTTTTCGCTATTCTTCTAATTAAGATTTACGGTTTGTAAGCAACGCGATTATAGCTGTTATTCTTTTTTAATTATAGTTACGATTTAGATACCAGAATATTGTTTTTATTTTTGCTTAGCAAACATCCAATTTAGTAGTGTGGTTCTAGATTTAAAATGGGTATATGATTATTAAGTTACATTTTTTTATTTACTTGACTTTGAATAGTCAGTCCAAGGTTGTCCATCAGTTACTACTCAATTTAACAAACTTCATTGTGGCAATATGAAAAACACCGATTGTAAACTGACTTCTAATCACAGTTTAAAATAAGCGCACCCTGCTGACCCTACGACAAAAGATTTCTACGCTTCATTAACAAACCATCTCTCCAATCGTCCAAATAAAAATGCTTTTAACGCCCGTCTGTACCTAGGTTTAAAAATATTTCATCTCTGCATAGTGATTGTTCATTTCATTATTGATCGTTACACTTTTACGATTTAGTATTCACACATTATTTTACAAATAAACATGTTCCTTAATTATTTCTAGGCATTCAACGATAAAACTTTCTCATTTAGTTTATATAATTATATAAAATCGAAGTATAGTCAAAAAGCACTTTACCGCTATCGATATATTGCATAATAGATTATGTATTTACACAAAGCTACACCTAATCTAGTGCGCCTATTTTGTCTCGTCATATTTAGTTTGATTGCATTGCATTTAAAAGCGCTTGGTGTTCTTTTACATATTTATATTAAATAACAAATTATAGTAGAAAATAATTATTAAAAAAATGAATGGTGTTTTATGAAGAAAACATTTATTAAATTTAACAACATATCCGTGTAAGGAGAAAGAAAACAAATAAAATAACTTTAGAATAACAGTGCCAATTATTTACAAGTTAATTTTGGAGTAGTCCTTGTTCTATAAACATAATTTAAATCTTTACAGTTGCCCCCTTATATTAAAACAAAATGTAAAGTATCATCCCCAAGTATGTATAGGATACATTTTATTATTGTTTTAAACCTGTGTCTTAATTTCGAAAGTCATATTATCAATCGTGTATTTAAAAATATTAAACTAGGTATAAGAAAGTCTAAAACTTGACTGAACCAATAATATGTATAATAAAATATACTCTAAAATATAACAACAAAAAATTAATTTGGAGCCGCACCAGGCAACTATAAAACGGACCTTATCTGGTTACTATATCTATTTATACTATTGATTTTGCTATTTTATGTTGTATCATTTTGTACATGCGTATAATAGCACTTAATAATATTACGTCTACAAACTGAACATAGTCAAATGGTAATTTTGAATATATTTTAAGCCGTCCACCCCTGACGCATTACCTCTTATTCACACACACACAATCCAAAACATTTTAGATGTCTTGTATATGCACCGAACTCAGATGTCTAGCATCATCATATGCTTATATATTTCACTGCCACAAGGATGTGAAAGTCAGTCTTAATCTTTCAAATTGTGGGACAGAATTCCACTAGAATATATTCACATTTATCATAAATTATAAAAGCCATTACACTCGCATTTCAAAAGGCATTGTGTCAAATGAGAATATGCAATTAGCCATTACATAGTAAGTAAGCATTCGTCAACTGGAGACGGTTTCCCCACTTCAATATATTTAAGCAGGACCAAATTTATTCATAACAAAATATCTCCAATTGGCCAACGCACAAAGTATGTAAATATTTGCGTGTTAACGTTATGCCATCATGTTGTCCACAATTCCGTGAGGGTTATTACCATACAAAAGTAACGTCAAAATGGCGGCGTACCGTTAAGGCTCAAGTTTAAGGCGCGGTTCTTACGTAAATTAAAATATAAACGCGTGTTAAGCAACCGTCTCTATCTCTTCCTGTATGGGGGTGGTTTGCTCCGGGGACGAGAGAGATTTAGGCGGTGCGCTTGTATAAGGGAGAGTCTTTAATTTTCTCGCTTCACGTCTCTGTTTCTTTTGTTGCATCACGAGCCTTAGTTGTTCCAGTTTGCATTTGGTTTTGGAGTTTTCCATAGCTAAGGTTTTTGCTGTATCACATTTCTTGCAGGTTTCCCCCGTTGTGGATTTTCCAGCACAGGCAGTGCAATTGCTGGGGTGTAATCTGCTGCACTGGCATTCGGTATGATCGCAGGTGCAGGGCTTCGCCCCGGCCGCGGAAGTGGACGGCAGGTGGCCATCACATTGCCCATACGAGCAGGATGCATGACTGCAACCCACACACTTGTTGGACTCATCCATACTGCTTGCTGAGCATGAGTGTTTGGATTCCTTCTGAAATTAATAAACACAAAAGTATTAAATAAAATAATATATATTTGCTTATATTGATATCTCATATGACTATGACGGTATGACATCGTTTGTTAAATCATACATAAATCTATAGTAATATTTGTTTCAAAGAGGATAGATTTTAATTTTTGTAAGAAATAAACTACAAATAAGTTTAAGGTTTTTAAAAAAATATTTATTCATTTGCTATCATGTACAAAAGTTAAAAAAAATCACATATGAGTCGGTAGTCATTTGGGACCGGGACCACTGGTCCTGATAGGGACATGGAATTAATAAATGATTTTGAAGCGGCATTCAGGACCGAAGCTAGTGGTTCCGAATGACACCTATGTTTAATGATTATTTTGAGTGGTAAGTTGGGACCATAAATATGATCTAAGTTTCTATCTTAATTTTTTATGTCGAGGAAGTACAGTCAAATAAAAAACGGCTTTTATAATATATATTCTTAGCTATAGTACATGACCCTGTAAGGGTATTGCAAAATTAAATTGATAAAATTATATAATAATAAAAAAAGCGGCCAAGTGCGAGTCGGACTCGCTCATGAGGGTTCCGTAGCAGCAAGTCACATAATAGAAAAGTTCTTGCAGTTTGTTGTAACTTTGCTCAATGTTTTAATAATAGTGTATTTTTTTAATTGTATTTTTGATTTATGACGTATTAAAAAAAACTACTTACTAGGTCTCGTTCAAACCAATTTCCGGTGGAACTTTGCATAGTAATATACATCATAATATATTTTTTTAGTTTTATCAGTCTCTTTATTTTAGAAGTTACAGGGCGGGGGACACACGTATTACCACTTTGGAAGTGTCTCTCGCGCAAACTATTCAGTTTAGAATAAAATAATATTAGAAATCTCAATATCATTTTTGAAGACCTATCCATAGATACCCCACACGTATGGGAATGACAAAAAAAAATGAGTTTCTGTTTTAAGTATGGAGACCCCCAAAATTTCTTGTTTTTTTTTTCTATTTTTGTGTGAAAATCTTAATGAGGTTCACAGATTACATCTTCCTACCAAGTTTCAACAGTGTAGTTCTTATAGTTTCGGTAAAAAGTGGCTATGACATATGGACGGACAGACGGATGGACATGACAAATACATAAGAGTTCCATTTTTTGCCATTTGGCTACGGAACCCTAAAAATGTATTCATAAACAAGTATAATATTGAATTAATTGCATATTTCATTATTATTAACATTTCTCACTATGTCAATATATTAAATTATTACTCATTCATCATTAAAATGTCCCGAGTAACATAGACTATATTTTATCAAGGTGAAACAACTATCCTACTCATTCATATTATTCCTATCCTTCCTGCTAATATTATAAATGCCGAAGTTTGTTATTCTTTCACTCAAAAATGGTTGAACAGATTTGGCACAGATATACTTTATTACCAGGATTGAGACATAGGATGCTTTTTGTCTCTGAAAAATAGCAGACAAAGTCGCGGGCGGCCGCTAGTATTATGAATGCAAAAGTTCGTTATTCTTTCACAAATAAACGGCTGAACAAATTTGGATAAAATTTGCCACACCAATAGTTATTACCTGCTTGTAAATTTGCCCTGTATCATAGAGTAGCAGATGGTAAAAGAGCCGATGGCACAGGGCGAGTTTAAAATCTACTAGAAAAATCGCTGGCTTGTAGCTAGTAAACTCGCCCTGTATCATCGAGGCTTCACAGTATGTGGTTATAAAAGTAATAAATTTTCACTCACCGAAGCTAGAGCAATTGGTGGTGTGGCACACAATAAGTCATTCAGTATGTGTATGATAGTGGAAATGTCCCTCTTTGGTCTGCCATATCTGAAATTCAAAACAGTCTTATCAATCAACTATTAATTTCCATGTTTAAATAGCACGATAGTTTTAGTACTTAATATTCCGAACTTTTTTAAGTTTTACATTTCTTAATTTTCTTTTGAAATTAACTGTGAACAGGTATTAAAGTAATGAAGGATTATAAATAATCAATTCAGAAATAAAGTGAATAATAATTTATATTTTTATTTAATAGTAGAGGTTGCATCATTTACAAAAAATCTGGCCCTTATGCTGTAGAGTAGGTGATTATACACCTCCACCACTTTTTCCAGTATTCTTTTTACATAATGCACTGGTAAGAATAATGAAAATGAATTACCTGTCTTGCAATGCTGGATTAAGAGTGCCCGAAAATGTTCCTGAATATATTCCTTTGCCATGATGCTTCATGGACTCTATCACTGCTCCAGGGCCTATCTTCGTGCGCACTGCCTCCTCAGCAGTCCGCAAAGCAATTTTGTTAGTCAGAACCTCCTTTGATAGTTTCTTAAGTTTTTGAGTTAAATTTTTTGAAGCTTCTATAAGAGCTTTTGTGTCAACAGGCGGTGTAGGTGAGGCTCTCTGAGGTTTTTTAGGTGCAACTGGTGCTTTAAATGGTATTTGTTTAGAAGTTGAAGGTACAGCATCATCATCAGTCTGTCCACTACTAGGTTGGAGGATTAGTTTTCTAGAATTTGTTATGTATGGATCTGTACGAGATGTGGAAGGTTGTGCAGTATTGCTATCTTGTCTTATCTGCATTCTCTTTTTATGTTTATTCACTACAGATTGCATGAAAGCTTTCTGTTTATTTTGACCAATAGGATGTTTAAACTTTGAAGTTTTATGAAGTAAATATTGGAAGCGCTTATTCTTTAATGGTTCATTTATGCTTTGGAAGGAAGGCAACGGCCCTGCTGTAGTTTCTTGGACCCCATGACTAGTTGTAGCCAAATTTGATATCTCCCTGTCCATCATTGACTCATCTTGTTCTTCAAAGAGACCTTTGTCAACTGCACTATTAAAAAGATTTTCCATAGGATACTCATCAATAGTGCTCTCAGCAAGAAATGAACTTTGATCAGTAAAGTTGTCACTGTCATCACTTAGGGAACTGTCTGGAGTCAGGGAGGATGTAGATGGACATGGTTGGTCACAAATGGCACTTGTAGAAGGGATCACTTCACTACTAAGTTTACTTTGCGATAATAAATCTATTAAATTATTTTTTACAGTGTTTACAAGGGCAGCCTCTCTACTTTCAGGTGTAGATGCATCAATAGGACTAGACACCAAATTAGATAATGATTTGATTGGAGATTGTTCATTCTCTAAAGATGTGTTAGACAGATCTGAGAGAGTACAGTTTGTGGTGTCCATTGATTCTTCCTTTTCATCACAAGATTCAGACTTTTCAGCATATTTCTCTTCTGCCATTGATCTATATAAATCAAAAGCATTTTGTATCATTTCCAAATCTTGTTTTTGTAATACATGAGTACTGCTTTCTTGTTTTGTTTTGTTGCTATCTTCAAATGCATCATCAGTTTCTGAAGGTTTCTGTGGGGCGCTCTGAGGGCAGGATGTTTCTCGGGCATCACACTTGGTGCGGCTGGAGGATGAGCTTTTAGTGGGAGTAGATGTGCGTAGGGATCGGGAACCTCCTGAAGAACTAGAGTTCAATGTTGATAGTTGAAGTTGAATCAGCATCATATGATCACCCAGCCTCATGGTTAAATTTAAAGGAGACTTCCCACTCAAGAAATCATTAACTTGTGTGTCATTTAAGGATTCTAATGCTTGCATCACAGAATTCTCAGGTCTTTGACTCTGTAAACAATTACCAATTGCAATGTTAATAAAGGACCATCTAATTAGTCAATAAATGCAATAACCATTTATAACAAAGATAAATAACTATTGATTAGTTTCACATTGTTATGAAACACGTGATTATCATGAGGTACTAAATTGGGATTTCGAAACAATGTGACGTACTCACCAAGAGGCCTGTCTCGACGCTCGGCAGCAGAATAACTCGCGATCCGTCCAACAGGCCATTTTCTTCGAGAGTGCCATCCCTCAGTTGTCTGGGAAGACAAAACCGTACATCAATATCGGAGTCAAAGGACGCGGATGCGTCATCGTATCGACGCAACATTATTTCCGTGATGTTTGACAATAGAAGCTTGGCGTCTTTATTTTACTCACCTTTCGCGATGCAGGAGGCATATCCGATCTTTTGACACTTTTAATTTCTTGGACACTAGTTTCTTCAGATGCTCCACTGTATTTTTACCGTTCAAGCTGATTGAAAAGTTACCACCCGTTGTAGTTTGTATATTCAGCGTTATGTCCGTAGTTTGAGGCGAGCCACACCCGTAGACTTCTGTTCCTGTAGCACGTTCCATATTTTCCACATAAATTGCACTAGAATTTCCACTTTATCACTATTTTAATGGCGTAAGGCTTATCTTAGATTACACAGCTATTTTATTGCAGAATAGAAATAACAGGGTCACACGCTAGACCCCCAGATTTTGATGTGGCCGTCGGTGTGACCAGTTGCCTTCGCGATATCCCGTTAACATTTTTTTTACTACAACAGCTGATGCAAAACGCTGTTCTTCTGCGTTCCTTTTTAAGATTTTTTTGTTAAGCAAACCATATGATTTTACTTTTCTTCGAAATAAATTGTTAATACACTGATAATAAGAAATAAATAAGCTTATAATGATCTATTTTAAGATTAATTCGATTTATTTATTGATATTATTCACTTCTTGATTATTGTTGTTTATGTAATGAATATTTATAACGTGAAATGAACTGTAAATGTCATTTTACGTCACACAACGCGAGTAGGCTTTATGCGGGAAATTTAAATAGGTAATGACGTCACTTCAAGTTTGCGCTTCTACGAAATTGATTCACGCATCAGGAACTTCCACGGGAAAATGAATGCTGCAGGTAATTAATTTTTGCTGCCCACAGATTTTTTATGGGATTATTAGTAGAAATAGTGCCATGATAGTATGTAAGCGTTATTTTGCGTGCATTTTACCGTTCTCAATGTTTTTATTGGGGGTAGTACCACAAAATAGACATAACAGAAGGTAATCTACAGACAAAGTGCGCTCGAGCAACACACACGGAAACAATATCTCAAACCTCTACTCACCAAAGAGACAAAAACTTTTTACTTTTTTTGTGAAAAAATAGAGGAAAATAAAACAAGTTAATGTAGGTAATTGTTTGAATTCCAAATTTTTAATTGTTACTTTTTTTTTGTAATATAAGGAAACATTAAAAAGTAAATATTTTAATTATTATTGGTTAATACTTCCTTTCTTTTTGTTTCGTTCTCGACAATAAATCAAACAACTAAATAAGAGTGCCACTACCGTGATAGATTTTATGTGCATAAGCCAATGTTGATAATCCTAGCGCGACCGCCGAGCGTGGTGAAGTCCCTCAACGGCGATCTCGCGGTTCCGCACTTAACAGCGTAGAGGGTATGTGCAGGGTTTTTAGCGGATAATATGCCGCAAGTGCTCGTTAGCAGCGCTTTTAACGGCTTTTCCGTTTCGCACCCGTGAGACTAGCGAGAGGCTAGGTGTGAGATCCGTTCGATGGTGTGCCCCTTAAGGGCATCAACGACTGTAAATAGAGGTTTTGCCTGCGTAATAAAAAAAAAGCTGTGCTAAGTACATACATGAGATTACCTACTGTTATGTTTATTTTGTGTTAATACTAAGCAAATATCATCTTCTGCCATCATTAATTTTGGTTTAGGATCCAAGTTAGAAGTAGATGTGACAATAAAAAGAAAAACGAGTATGCTTATGACCACACGACTGAAGTGAAACTTCTTTATCTCCATCTGTATGTATATATACAGGGTGTGACAAAAGTCCGAAATAAAACTTTAGGGTTTGGATGTGTTCCTTGTATAGAATTACCTACGAAAGTTTGACGTCTTTCAGACCACTTTTATTTTCTAATTAAATAAATAAAAATATCGTTTTACACCTGCCTATGACAACCCTATAAATGCGTACGATTACTACTACCTAAACAGACCCCCCTCTCTCCCCCAGGCGCCCCTGCGCCCCGCTCAGATACCTACAAATTTTTATTTCGGAATACATACCTACAAATTTTATTTCGAAATTCTGTAACAGCCTGTATATAATATATATGTGTGTGTACAATATATACATGTATGTACATATATATATTTCATTTACTAGCTATAAGAGAAAGAGAGAAAGAAAATGTGGGCACGCACTGCTTTCTCTTGATTATGCGTTAAGCGTTACGAAAAGAGTGTTCGGGCGAGGCGAACGGGAGTTCAGCGGGGGATATAAGCAAGAGAAAGCAGTGCATGCCCACATTTTCTTTACCAGCCAGCTTACCACCCAAGTCAAGCGTGCGTTATGAATTTATTTATTTATTTAATAATCACTTACATCTATCATTACAGGTATAACCTAATACAATAGAGCAGTTACAATACAATCAATTATTATACTAAAAAATAAAAAAACACGAAAATAAAATAAACATTTTTATGATAGTATACAATAAGCGGCCCGTGTGAATTCATTCAATGTGCATTGAAGAAACAAGTCAATGTGCAGAGACAGCGTGTTGAGCGTGCGCAGAGCGCGCGTGAGGGGCGTGCAGTGCTGCAGGTTAGTGCGTGCGCGCGGCACATACAACAGGGGAGGCTGCCTCCGTCGCCCCGCGTACTCGTTGGGCATACACAACTGAACTGTGTGAAGAATCTCTGGGTTCCTTAGTTTACCACGAATCACTTTGAATAAATAAGTGGACAGAGACACTTCCCTCCTTACTTCTAATTTAAAATAGCCCGTCATGCCTAGTGCGAACAGAGTAGGGTACAAAAGTGGAAAGCCTGAATACACACCATACTGCTTCAAAAAAATAAATCTCACGAATTTGTTCTGGATGCGTTCTAACATTAATTTATATTTCGCTTCTTGTGGCGACCAGACTAAAGCATTGCATTCTAAATGGCTTTTTACGAGGGATGCGTATAAAGCTTTTATTGCACTGAGATTTGTGAATTCGTTCGCTTGACGTAAAACTAAGCCCAAATTCCGGTAAGCTTTCTTACAAACTTCTACGATATGCTGTCGAAAATTCACATCGGTAGTGAAGCGCACGCCTTAGTCCTTCACTTCGGATACACGTTTCAGTGGCATGCTGTCCATGTAGTACTGATGGTGACTCGGGCTACGCGCTCGACTAAACGATAATACGGAACATTTGTCCACGTAGAAGTACAATTTATTTTTAAAACTCCACTCCACTACCCTATCTATATCCTGTTGCAAAGAGTCTTGATCGAGAGTGAAGAAGGTTCACTTCAATAAAATACGTAAATATTTCTGTACAATCATTCCTAGAAGTAACAAGGAAGGTAATTTCTATGGTAGGTCTTTTTCTAGTCTTGCCAGTTTTCATCATAACCACATTATTTCTTACAAAATAAAACACATATTGATCCTCAACCCTCTTTATTGATCCATCACCCTCCATAAAATAATAAAGACAACAAAAATCAACAGCTATCACAGAGATATTAACAGGGTATAGTTGTAGCATCTTAATATACATATAAATTAGCAAATACAACGCTAGTATCTCACAACTTTGGGGGTGTATTCCGATATAAACATCAGTATAATGGCCAGTGGTAATGACGTCACGAATCCGACGCCATATTGTACTGGTATGCTAACATATTTTTACCGGGAAAACGATTATGACGTATGAATGAGCGTGCGTGAGATGCATTCGAATTTTATTTCTTTTTTATTTAAAGAACAATAATGGCATCCGAACAAAAATAATTCCTTAAATGATGAGGTGAATACAAAATATTCTTTATTCGCACTATTTTTAATATTTCGTCGATTTATGACGTCAGTGCACTGGCCAATATATGTTGGAACAATTCACCAGTATAGCGTCGATTCATGACGTCATTAGCACTGGCCAGTATACTGGTATATATTACGGAATACACCCTAAATTAGGTCCCAGATGCTGATGAACCGAGACCACAACTATTTTGATTGTATCAGTTAGTTTAACCAATAGTAACAGTTGGTATGAGATGGTTAACAAACATGCTCGGTTTTTTACATAAGGACAAATATAGTTTCATCCTTTTTTATTGAAATAAGTAGTTGCAAATTAAAATACATTTTTTTCACATAACAGAACCTGCCAAAACCTAATTAATTATACAATAATATGTCAATATATCATTATGATTTTTTTGTTGAAGCAATTAATTTAATCGAATATGTCTAAGGCTTTAAAACATAGAATAGTTTATAGGTATTTATTGTCACACAGTAAAACGATTTCCGAGAAATTTCCATAAACAACATTATAAAAAGTTCAAATTAATAATAAAATAATACATAATTAATTACAGATTAGAGTCTGTGCGGAAAAAGAATGGGCGAGGCGAAAAACGGAACTAACATTAAGATTTTTATTCGGCAATCAAACCCAGCAATCTGTAAAACGTCAAAGTTTTGTATTGATACGGATTTGTTTGTTGTTGTGATTTTTTTCTTGCGGTTTTTTGTATTTAATCATGTCTAAAAGGGGTAAAACCTTACAAATACGGTAGAAAAGCACTACAGCGCCCTCCAATCTAAATCCCATTCTCTTTCTGCACAGACTCTTTATACATTATTTTGGCTATTTGTACCAAATGCATCAATTATGTGCTAAGATTAACATGCTGAACGGCTATAAATGATGTGAAAAAATTCTAAAGCTATATATTTTGAACATTTTAAAGAAAAACAATAACATTTTGCATTGTTGGAATTATTAATAGACCCAAGTAGTCTCATTTCCACCTAGTACGAATAACACAAACGAGTAGGAATTATTAATAAAATAGGTATACATGTAACGCTAATAAAACACATTTTGTGTTTCCTAAAATTGAGTATAACATAATTTTTAATAAATAAGTTCAATATCTCCTTAAAGCATTTAAAATTGTTACTAATATAGTTTTGCCGTAATATTTAATTAAATCTGAGTATCCCAATACATATTTGTGTATAGCAACCCTCTAAAACCCATTTTGGACGTTGCGTTGTTTAAGCAAACCAAGCATACAATCAACAGAATATAATATGTTTAACTATATATTATCACTTCTCGTCACCATCAAACCAAACTTATCCAGCATGTCGGTTTATACTCTGTTTCCAGAGTATTACAAAGTAAAAAATAACTTGTAATTGTTCGTTTTTTAATTCTGTTTTCCATCACTCTCGATATAATGTGATAAAAAATTGCCTTATTAATTTGGAGTTAAAATGTTCATCAACAAAAATGATTTAATACTTCCCATGATTTCCATGGAGTATTTGTTAATAAACTTAGTAATGAATATGGTTAATATTATATTGGATGAAACATAGATTATTCTTTTTCTAATGGATCCTTATTTTTTTTAATAAAATATTTTGGAATATATAACTCCTTGACTTACATCAAATTTTATAGGCATTTATAATAATTAACTACATAATTATGTTTTATTTTAAATAATAACACTAGAAAGTAATTATTTAGCCCTTAAATTTAAAGAAGCTGCTGAGAACAAAAGAAAAGCGTAGAAGAATGGGAATGGTAACTTACAATAAATTAAAATCATCTAATAAATCTAAGATATTATTATTCATATTTTTTCACGATGCATGTCAAATTATAAAATTATTTTTTATTCCTATAAGGTAAAAAAAATTATCATATAGTTTTTTCTAAATTGTTGTAAATGAATTCTATCGAATTCTTCGTTAAAATGAATGGGTACTATAATAAGTAACATCTGTGTAAATTATTTTGTGACACAGATTGAATGTATGCCATTCCATACAAAAGGTATTTTTGGCATTGTCACTGGATTATAAAAAAAAAACTTGTAACTTCATTCGTTTTCTTAGGCAGAGGATTGATTAATTTAACTTGTCATTTGATTACAAAAATGTGCAATGCATATCCTAGGGTTTTTTCATATTGATTTGTCAGATAAATAAATGAAATTATTGACAATTACTAAAATACTGGACACATCACTGAATGTAACTACACATATAATACACTTTTTGTATGGAATATGGGATTAACATGAAATCTTTGTTATCTTCCAGGATCTTTTATATGTTAAATTACGTATATAATGGTGTCGATTATGGCATAATTCTCTAAACCTAAAATTAAATTTGTTAACAGGATATCTTTACCATTCCCCATACATAATGAAAATAAGACTGGTGTTAAATTCAGTTTTAAATTTAGAAAATCATGCCAGAATCGTCACCACTATGACACCGATATACAATACAAATATATGTTAATTATTTTGAGACACAATTTAATATCGTCACTGGATTATTTTAAAAACTTTCAACATTATTTGTTTCTTTTGTTTTTAACAGAGGATTGATTAATTTATGTTAAATTAGATATATTATGATCTGATTTCTGGCATGATTCTCTAAACTTAAAACTAAATTTAACACCAGTCTCTCCTTTATATTCTGTATAGAGAATGACAAGTATACAATGTAGTCAAATTTAATTTTAGGTTTAGAGAATGAAACCAGAATTGACACCTATGTGTTGTTTACATAGAGGTATAAGAATTCTATTCTATAAGAAATTCTTCTATAATTGAGGAGCTCGATGGCGCAAGTGGTTAGCGCGTTCGGCTGCGATAGTTGAAGTTAAGCAACTTTCGCAGTGGTCGGTCATTGGATGGGTGACCAAAAATTTATTATCTCGAGCTCCTCCGTGCTTTGGAAGGCACGTTAAGCCGATGGTCCCGGCTGTATCTGCAGTCGTTAGCACCCGCCAATCCGCACTGGGCCCGCGTGGTGGGTCATGGCCCAATCTCCCTATTCCATCCAAAGGGAAGGCCTGTGCCCAGCAGTGGGGACAATAATAGGCTGATGATGATGATTCTATAAGAATTCTTATACCTCTATGTTTGTTTAACGTACACGATTTTACTACGATGCGACTGCGATCCGACTTCGACTCAATCACGATCCGAACTCCTGCGTCTCGCTGTCGATGGGCCCGAAGGTGTAAGCACCGCGGCCGTCCATCTGCAAGTAATGATCGTGGTGTTTCCACAACGACTTGCGATGCGACACGGTGAATAGTGAAATGCCGACCTGTAAATTAATTCCAATGAAGATTAAACTAATACCCTCTTATTAATAAAAAAGGAATAAGCTTAGACTAATTACGCCGTGTTTTGTTCATGTCACTCAAATGCCATTTGTCATTCAATAGACAGAGACAAAATATGGAGTAACTAATCCAAGCGTAGTCTTCATTTAATATTTTAAGGTAATCGTGTCACAATTGTAATAAAATGTGTTCTTCTCATCCTATACCTACAATTTAAATGTAAGATGACCCTATAATTTGCTAAATGTGCATTTAACAAGGGAGGGAGAGTCCTGGTGCTCTGAGATACAGGCTTTCTGCCTAGTTCAGGCACCAGTCTCTCACAATCTATTTTATTGCTCTGATATAAAATTATAGTATAATAAGTTGTCATGTAATTTGTAGATTGTGGAAGAACAAATAAAGATTATTATTATTATTATTAATAAGGAGGATAGTGTCGATTCCGGCATGATACTCTAAACTTCAAACTAAATTTAACATCAGTCTCTCCCGTTGTCAAATTTAATTTTAATTTGAGAGAAATCATGCCAGAATCGACACCACTATCTATTCAAATTCCTTTGAGACAAAAGGTAAACAAACCATAAAAAGTTTTAGGTCGAATGTTAAATATTTGAGTCGTATAGTATCAAAGGCGGCAAAGTAGGTAGATTTTCAAAAATGAGATGCGAGTATGGTAACACAGGAAATTTAAAAACAAGGGCCCAATTCCCAATTCTCGCGGCATAGATATTATATGACCTTCGATATATATCGAATGATCTGGCTTTTATCGAAGGAAAACCTTTTTGCCCTATTCTCACCATGTCGCAATAGATATTTATCTACGGATGATCAGTAGACATACATCGACTGGTAAAGAGCCTTCGATATATAAATATCTATGGATCTTGGCATCTCAATCTTGTTATTTCCACTTTTTTTGCCTATTATTTATTGTGTTGTCGTGTGTCTTTGCCAATTATTGTTACCTCAAGATGTTGTTAACTGCCTTCATAAATAATTAGTAAATATAGAAGTAGGTAAACAATGGTGTCGATTCTGGCGTGATTCTCTAAGCTTAAAACTAAATTTAATATCAGTCTCTCTTTTTCATTCTGTATAGAGAATGACAAGGAAACACTGTTGTCAAGTTTAAGTTTAGATTTAGAGAATCGTGCCAGAATCGACACCAGTTTATATTAACGATGGATGAGTTGATTCATGTTTTCGTCAACGATTTAATAAATGACGTGATTGCTGCTGCTGTGCTAAGGCGCCGCCGTTGTGAAAGCAAGAGGACCCATTTAAACCCATAAAAAAAATACGTTTAAACAAAAAATTGGTTAGAAATCTTTCAAGTTATGAATGACATTGCTATCGATTCTGACACGGTTCTCTAAACTTAAAACTAAATTTAACATCAGTCTCTCCTTTTCATTCTGTATGGAGAATGACAAGGATACACTGTTGTAAAATTTACGTTTAGGTTTAGAGAATCATGCCAGAATCGACACCATTTTCTTATTGACGATACGGAGTTTTGGCGGGATTTCTGTGAGTGCGGTTGGCATCTTATTTTAATTATTCTAAAATTCGTTCATAGTGGATATTGTGAAATAAAATTGGTGTGATTTGGTGTTACAACCGTCTGCGCAACTGAAGAATTAGTGGAATCTTTAAAATATATGTTATTCCGGTCAAGTGGACGCGAGAACTTTATTGTAGTGTTAACTACCTCACAGAAGCCTAGAGAAAAAGCAAACTCCATAAATTTCGTGCCAAACACTCCAAGAAACATTAGAATGCGTCACACCGACATTCGAATGTAAAAAAAAGAAGATTAATATAACTAAAGACTAGGCTTTGTGGGCATTGTTCCCTTTGCCTTCCCTGAAAAGGGAGAATCTTAAATAATATTGACGTTTCATTATACATAACGTTGAAATTATATACGCATACAATTTAGGTAAAGTTGAGATTTCTTATACTCAAAAAATATATACTCATATTTAATATGAATGGAATTCATAAAATATCATTTTGTTGCTTGTCAAATTCTGCTCTAATTTATTATTATTTTATATAGATTATGATGTTAACTTAATCGAGAAAAACGGAACGCATTCGTCAGTAAAAGAATATCTACGATAGATACAATATCATTGGAATATCGAAAATCCACGAGAATAGCATTTTTTACCATCAGTAGATATTTTTAATAGATATCCCTACTTTCGATATTATCTCGAAGCCGATATAATATCTACGCCGCGAGAATTGGGCTCCAAATCTTAAAAATCTCTCATTCAGGATTACAGATGACCATAATACCCTTAAAAACTTGATTGAAAACACAATTTGGTTTCAAAGGTGGCAATCTTTCTCATATCGCAATCATAACCGGCCATATTTTAATTTTAACCAATCAGAAGAGTTTCTGCAATAGCGTCGCAACATGGCAGAAAGTGCAGTTCAATACATTTTTGTCTTGTGTTTTTAGTGATTTAAAGTTTCTTCTTTAGTGTTTGATACTTATCATGGAGCAAACTCCAACACGTACTACTAATTACACAAGCAAACGAAGAAGGAATAGCGATACATGGAAGAGGAATGTGATAAGAAGCTAAGATAATTTCGTGTTATTTACTAGGTTAGGGTTGGCACCTATTTGATTTTACTATGTAAATATAATTACACGGATAAGGCATTGTCCTAATACAACGCGATAACGCGAATGAGCGATGCGATCATCGTACGATTCGACGATCAAACATATTGATCTAGAATAGGTGTCCTACACATACTATGATGTCTGCGGTGTGTGCCCAATTGCAAGTAATCTTCCAAATAGAACGCAAGACTCCGGCTTAGTAAAACCTGGTCCTTAGTTTCTTATTATTAATTGATTTTTTATGTTTAAGTCCATATCATTAAAACCATAAAAGGCAATTTTATTCAAACATTATGTGATTACGTAAACAAAAGTTTTGTTTTTTACTACGAAATAATCTTAGTTTTTTTTTAATAATTTGATTATTGTTTCAGTCTATTATTTGTTCTTTATTTCTGTGAATTTTCAATAAAAATATTAATTAAATATAACAAACTTTAATTTTGACAACCCTGTTCATACTCGGCTATCATAACATTTAGTTCGCGTCAAAGGCGGCCATATTTACCAAGCTTCGGTTCAAAATCGGCCATTCTAATAATTTACTATCAAAGGCGGCAATATAGAAATTTTATTTTATTATTATGTTGCCTGTGGTTCATTTTGCGCAATGATTTTATGTTCATTGACATTCATCATAACTACAAATCGTAGTGAAATGTCAATTATAAAAATCCTCCCTTAAAGACGAGACTAAACAGTTTTTTTTGATTTGCCAAATATTTGGTTCGCCCTACTTTGCCGCCTTTGATACTATACGACTCATTTTATAACAAAATCATACTTAAAAAAGTGATATTAAAAAGACCCAAAATTATATTGTAGCTATTCCCAAACTTTGAATGTATTATAACACTACTAAATTAAAGAGAATTTTTGTAAACAGTGCGGTTGCACCGGCCATCTTTACTCTCGATAAAAAGTTTCAGAAACATTGGTTTATTTGTTACCTTTAGCTTTTGTTTCAGAGGAAGTTGAATAGAGTATAGGACTATTTTGTACAATAAAACAAGGCAAGAAGATGTGTTATAAGATAAGAATAAATGGAAGACGTCAGTTTTGCAATTTAATAAAATACAATTTACTTCTTTATCAATAGCGGCGAGTTTTGTTGGTACTTCACATATATATCCGTATCAGCTCCATGTGAATTGACTAATTGGAAACAGATTTAGTTTTTACGAATACGAATAGGTAACGGGCGAACATTATAAAAAAACAAATCAAACACGCATATAGACGAAACAAAATAATTTGACCAATCAAATATCTGTAAATGAATCCGGCTATCCATTCATAGGGTAAGATAGTGTTAAACGGAAATCCCAACTAATCCCACGATCACCGTGTTGATCGCAGTTTTTTAGCCCCGCCCACTTGATCGCAATTTGGGCGGAACCATTTTTTAGAGCAGTTCGTATTCCATTATTTCTAATTCGTTGGATTCTAGTGTTGAGCCAATATTGATGTAATTAATACCCTTTTTATTATTAATCCCTCCACTTTTGATCTCACACACACACACTTACGCACACACTTTTACGCACACACAACATACACACATACTCACTCAAACACACACACTCACACTAACACACGAACTCACACACACCTACATGCATTCAACAATTACTTTTGTTTTCTCCTTAGACTTATTTAACTCAAACTTCACTTTTAATGTTTATACTGAAGCAATCATATCTGTGAGCCATAACTGACATTGTAACCTCAGCCAACACATGGGTTGAGTCTAACTCCCTTCATACAAGTTGTCTTGTCAACTTAGTAAGGTAGCTAGCTAGTGTTCCAACAACTTGAGCTCCTTTTAGTGATGATTGAATGGCAACCAAATGTACCTCACGATTGTAAAATGTATTTATGATGCAAATAAATTATTATTATTATTAATACATACCTCCCTGCAGTATTGATACATCTGTCCCTCGACGTCTACGGACACAGCGCTTGTGCACTCGTCGAGGATCGCGAACTGCGGCGCGTGGTAGAACAGTCGCGCCATCTGTTGGTTTCCGAACGATCTACTTACTAATAATAGGGATGGCAACTAACTTTTTTTCCTTCACGTGTTAAGTAGAGTATCGTCTAGTATGAACACATATTTTTTTTTACATAACAAAAACATTACAGAGATATATTAAGTTGAAATGCCGCATGATGTTACGTGTTTGTACAATTTTTGCTTACAACTGTCATCACAAAGCTCCTCTCCCAAACTTTGACAAGCTTAATCTTTGTAATTTTTTTTTGCAATTCGTATGAGCGGTGACGAAGGAACACCTCGACCTCACTTCACACACATCGCGGAACATTGTACTACCTCGTGATTCGTAACATGACTTCGCATAACGTGACATGACGTCACACTTTTTCGTACGTGCAGCCAGTATTCATCGATTTATAAGACGTTAACACATCAAAAGATGAAAGTTGGTTGGGATTGATACAATCTCTTCGCGGCTGTGAGGCAACGAATTAGAAATGATATGGAAGCGTTACACTCTAACGAAGGCCGCTAAAACATGGCACTAAACTCGTACAACTAAACTTTAACACTAACGCGACACGCAAACAAAATCCTTTAACAAATCAAATATCTACAAATGAATTCGGCTATCCATTCATTGGGTAAGATAATCTTAAACGGCAATCCCAACCAATCTCATGAGCGGCGTGTTGATTGCACTTTTTTCGCCCCGCCCACTTGGTCGAGTTTGTGTGGAACCATTTTTTAGCACAGTTCGTATTCCATATAATTTCTAATTCGTTGGTTTGAGGGTATGTCTTATGCTGATAGTTCGTCGGGGTTTAATACGTTACCGCGATCCGTTGCTTCTCCCCGCCCGATAGTACGTCCATCCAGTCCTCGACCGCGTCCCATTCGTTGTCGCACGCTACCAGTTATATGGGGGATTGGGTCGGTGTAGGCAAAGGTGCGACTGATAACTTTTATTATGGCTTACCATCAGGCGGGCCATAACATAAGAAAAAAATTGGTTGCCTGTAAAGTTGGTTTACGGATGGTAGTTTTACGTGTCTCTCACATTTTCCGCGCGCTCGCTTGCACGCTCAGGCTCAGGCGGAACGTGACACTTTTTCGTGCGTGCAGTGGTGTTCATCAATTTATAAGATGTTAACACATCAAAAGCTGAAAGTTCGTCGGGGTTTAATACGTTACCGCGATCCGTTGCTTCTCCCCGCCCGATAGTACGTCCATCCAGTCCTCGACCGCGTCCCATCCGTTGTCGCGCGCCACTAGGTACCCCAGCTGCACCAGTTCCAGGCATCGAGTCAACTGCTCGTCGCTTCGACCGCGACGTATCATCTCTTCGCGAGTTTGAGGGTATATCACCTGGGGGACACAGAACGATTTGGTTTCAAAACACGCAACTAGCGATTTTCTTTGAGGTGTAGTGTAAATCACGTAAATCTTAGTTATAAAAAAAATGTGCTTATGACCACACGACTGAAGTGAAACTTCTTTAACTCCATCTATATGTATATATATATATATATGTGTGTGTACAATATATACATGTATGTACATATATATATATATATATATATATTTCATTTACTAGCTATAAGAGAAAGAGAGAAAGAAAATCTGCGCGCGCACTCTTGCGGCTTTCTCTTGCTTATATCCCCCACTTAACTCCCATTCGCCTCGCACGAAGACACTTTTCGTAATACGTAACGCCTTCGCAAGCTTACCCCCAAGTCAAGCGCGCGTAAAGAAGTCGTCATTTTCCCATGAATCACCGACGCCCCATCAACACATCTTATGCGTCAGTTTGAATATAGTTGCCCAAGAGTTACTTCCCGTTTGCTTCATATAATGAGGTATTTGCTTCCCCAATATTTTAAGAATAATAGAAACATTTAGAATCCTGACGCACTCGATTTTCGCCTTACTGTGCATGAACTAGACGATCTCCGTGGCCGAGTGGTTTGTACGCCGGATTTCATGGTGTCGCCGACTCGAGAGGTCCCGGGTTCGAATCCCGGTGGGGGCAGATGTTAGTGTGATGAATACGAGCATTTGTACTCCATTCATGGATGTTTAATATGTATTCCTTTATAAATAAACTTATTTATGTACAATATATGTATTCTATCCGTAACCCTAGTATCCCATTAAATAAGCCTTACAGTGCTCACTTTGGGGCTAGGCTAATTGGTGTGAGTGTTGGTAATATTTATTTATTTATTATATACTAACCTGATCCCTGAGGGTGCCGAGGGTCATATAAGGTCTCTGCGGTACGTAGAACAGTTTCCCTTTAGGTGGTTTGGTGAGAGTGCCCCCGAATATAGGCCATAATTCTCCTAGTTGACGGAATAGCGACGATTTGCCGCAACCATTAGGCCCACATACTAGCACGTTCATGCCCGACCTGTACAAGCGATAATATAAATCACACGTTTAAACATGGATTATTGGTATAAATATGATTGTTATACATATGAGCAAATCGATGGCGCAGGTGGTTAGCGCATTAAGTCTGTGATCGTCAAAGTTAAGTAACTTTCGCTATGATCGGTCATTAGATGGGTGAGCAGTCGTCAATCCGCACAGTGCCCGCGTTGTGGGTCACGGCCCAGTCTCCTTTGTATAGTAGTACGCACGCTGTTCATAGTATGGTTCATAGTAACAAATATTTGTCCCCTTTTCGGTCTATATCTAAAAATACGATAACCATAAGCATGCATGAATTGAAACACTTTCTATGATTTTGATCTTATTCTGAGCTATATACTCTTGTTAATTCACAGAATGTTATTGTTCTCAATATGTAATACGTCACTTAAAATCAGAGCCCTTTGTCACCAAGTCGACATACGTAAGCCGACGGTTTGTTGAGGGATAATCTATTTATTGCACAGATTTCATTTATTAAATGTTTGATACTGGATTTGCTTATTTTGAATTTTTCTTTGAACGCAAAATCAGTGATATCAAAGGAGAAATTTATTCGTTGTTAATAATTTCTACTGTAGAAGAACTCATCTTTTTAAACTTACACGGAGCTGCGTTTCAATAGTACTTGTTATTTTAGAACAACAAAAACACCACAATTGTAACGCAAATCTGACACAGCGCCGGTCTTATTTCAAGAATTAACAACATTTTGTCAAATATGACGACCTAAAACAAAAATACACATTTTTCACAACATAATTGTAGTTAATTAAGGTACGGAAAATTGTAACAATTGTCTGCAATTTAATCATGCATTTCCGAAAATAATGCTTAAAATTGTCACATATCACTCGTCACTCGACAATTGCTTACATTTATGTCGACTTGGTGAAATAGGGCCCAGGTGGAGTGGTCATTCGGACCCTCCAATAGAAAACAAGGTAAAATAAAATATAACATGAACTTTTTTGAACACAGCTTTTAATTTGGACTTACTTGACTTCGAAGGAGAGCTCTTTGATCAGCACGTCGCCGTTTGGAGTGACGAGCGGTACTTTCTCAAAGCGAATGATTTTGTCCTGGTAGATTATACGCCCGGCGCCAGGGGCCATAAGCATTGGGACGTCTGAAAGGTTATATTTTATAACAACACCAATGACCATAAATAATTCAAAGAAAATCAGTCTGAATGCTTCCTTTCCACTATCAAAGAGTATATCTCTTTCGTAGGATATTGCTAAATATTTTAATAATCTTTCATTAATGCAATGTTTACTTGCTCTCAACTTCAATGATGCGATGTAAACGAAGTCCACTTCATCCACCATAGTGCGTTGATACTTCCCGCGCTACACTTTGTCTAACACAGTACGAAGCTACGTGACTCTTCCTAATCCAGTGCCCCAGCAGTGGGAACAACAATAGGCTGATAATAATGACGATAGTTTTAACTCACCGGCACCTTCTTGAGAATTCCTATCCACCATAGTGCGTTGATACTCCCCGTGGTACACTTCGTCTAACACAGTAGGAAGCTACGTGACTCTTCCTAATCCAGTGCCCCAGCAGTGGGGACAACAAAAGGCTGATAATAATGACGATAGTTTTAACTTACCGGCACCTCCCTTAGAATTCCTATCCACCATAGTGCGTTGATACTCCCCCGTGGTACACTACGTCTAACACAGTACGAAGCTATGTGACTTCCTAATCCAGTGCTCCAGTAGTGGGGACAACAAGAGGCTGATAATAATGATGATAGGTTAACTCACCGGCACCTCCCTGAGAATTCCTATCCACCATAGTACGTTGATACTCCCCATGGTACACTTCGTCTAACACAGTACGAAGCTATGTGACTCTTCCTAATTCAGTGCTTCAGCAACGGAGACAACAAGAGGCTGATAATAATGATGATAGGTTAACTCACCGGCACCTCCCTGAGAATTCCTATCCACCATAGTGCGTTGATACTCCCCATGGTACACTTCGTCTAACACAGTACGAAGCTATGTGACTCTTCCTAATTCAGTGCTTCAGCAACGGAGACAACAAGAAGCTGATAATAATGATGATAGGTTAACTCACCGGCACCTCCCTGAGAATTCCTATCCACCATAGTGCGTTGATACTCCCCGTGGTACACTTCGTCTAACACAGTACGAAGCTACGTGACTCTTCCTATTCCAGTGCCCCAGCAGTGGGGACAACAATAGGCTGATAATAATGACGATAGTTTTAACTCACCGGCACCTCCCTGAGAATTCCTATCCACCATAGTGCGTTGATACTCCCCGCGGTACACTTCGTCTAGTACAGTACGAAGTTGCGTGACTCGCGCCGTAAGCCCGGCCAGTTTGTTCATCTCTCTACCGGCGAGGACCAACCGTCCTATGCCTTCAGCCATTTTCAATAACATTCTACCGTACGTGTAGTAATGCTGCGAGAAAAAAATCCTTTATTACAATTTGTAACGAACACGAAAAACGTTGTTGAGAACCTCTGTATTCCGAAAGTCCAACACCCGCCACATTCCTATGCTAGAAAAAAAAAACTTTTACGTAAATTGCGAGGCTAAGCTTTTTATTTGTTATTATATAACCTCCCGACAAACTAAAATATTAGATTTCTTTAAAAGTTTAATTTACATTTGAAATTTCAAAGTATTATTTGTTTTGTTTCATAATCAATACCCTCTAAATTAATTCTGTGTAATATAATCCGAACACTCCACGAATGCGAATGGGAGTTAATTTTCCGAGTTCGGGTTGAAGAGGTCCTGCTGTATAAGATTAGACTTGAAAGACGTTTTGCAGTCCGACAAGTATATATATAAAAAATCTAACTACAGCTCCACATACCGGGTATAGTAATGAGTATCATAACCTCATAGTTCACTAATATCAGACATATTCATTTATCCGACAGACGTTGTCCTATCGGATAAAAATAGAAAAAAAAAACTTGTAATCATAAGGCCGACTTGCAGTTTGCTTAATCTCAATTTAACTGTTACTAGATTTTACCCATACAAAAATGTCAAAACGTCAAAAGGCAATTTGACATCATTGTATGGACTAAACCTAGTTTTAAATCAACATTTATCAAATTTACTGCAAGTGGGACTTAGACTTGTGATAGCATTTCCATATCATCTAATTATATTTCAATACAGAAGACTGAAAATACTATAAAATGGGGAACATGGGGGTTAAATATACAATAAATTAATAACTTTACCTTGAACCTATCGTTTTCTGTGCCGGTGGTGAGAAGGTTGTGCTTCTTAGCGAAGAACGGTCGCGACACCGCGTAGAATCCTACGGTGATCGCCACGTCTGATGGTTAAGAATATTCACCTTAAGTGTTATACTTTCGTACTCAGTGACGACAATTAACTTTTGAGTTTAATGAAATAAACTGCAGTTTATTTCATCGCCTTAGTAATAGAAAAAGACAACGCACGTGATTTTTGATGGTATTAAAGGATCCATTCTTTCCTCAATACAACTCTGCCAAATGTTGTACCTCAAGTAAATTCATGCAAATTTATGTTTAGAAAAATCAGCTGAATTAAAATAAATGGAATTTATTTTCAAAATATTTGAATTCATATTTTTTATTTATATAATTATTTAAACTTCTTTGCTATACATATGCAAACGGCGGACTTAATGCCATAGGCATTCTCTACCAGTCAACCTGAACGAGTATTAGAGACAAATGGTATGGAATTAGAGCAAAATGCTTTATAATAAAACATTTAGAAAATAACAGCGATTAAAATAAATTAATATTTTTATACTTTTGATACACCTACATAAACATATTGTCACCAATTTATATTGAATTTATTGAGATTTCGATGAGTGAGCCTTTTTAAGTATAATTTTACATGTTTTTTGAGATCATTTGTACCAAGGTTAAAAATTGGGCAGAAATGGATGGTCTCCTTTATGAGACATCTGTGAATACGGCCTATAGTGCACCTGATTGGGGCACAATTCTTTAAGCCTAAAACTTAATATGACAGGCAATGTATCCTTATTATATATCCTAATAGAGAGCAAAAAGGGAAGGGATAGCTGTATTTAGCTTAAAGTTTAGAAAAATCTGCCAAAACCTGACCGCTGACACCGCTGTATATTTTTAAATAAAGCACTGCGTTTTTTGCGTTAAAATTGCAGTAACACAACATGATACCTATTAAAACATACAATTTATTAATTTCTCAAGTTTCGACGCACACCACTCATTAACAATTTCAGGTACTAATTACTGTAAATAACATTATTAATGTATTACATGATATAAGAAAATAAATTATCGTCAGATTTACAATAGTCGGTTGACATGATCGGCACCTGGGGCAAAGGTCTTCGTTAAAGACTACTGTCAATTGATTATGTAAATCATGAATACCTACTTATTATCCTGTTTTCCATAATTTGTATAAAGCAGCTTTAGTTAGCGGCTTCGTTCGGAAAAGATATAGGAAACGAACTTTTTTCCGGATTCAAAGTATCCTATAATACGAAGCAATAAACTATCCTTGTGCCAAATTTCTCAACAGCGACGCAAGACATTCTGTTCATCTCGTATGGACAGGATGTGCGAGACGGACAGCATGTCATGCGTCGCCATATTCAGTTCTTTTCTTGATTTGCACACTATAGTCTAAACAAAGCCAAGACATCCAATTAATACGACTATACAGGGTATTAAAAGACCTTAAACGTAGCCGAAAACCACGTATTCTTTCCATCATCAAGACAATTTTTGTCTTCTAGACTATACAATGGGAAATCAATAGTTATTAAAGCTATTAACGGGATTGTTACCATATACCTTGTTTTTTATGAGTCTCCGCTATTTCGACACTATTGCAAACGCCATGATCGCGGAGTAACTCAACCATCCCATTAATAATGTCAGTGATCAGAAAGTTTTAAAAAATATAAAAGTTATTAAGGTTACTTTTTAATTTCTGTCCCGAGAAACATTATTGAAATTTTAAGTATTTCGTAACAAAAAATGCCTTTCAAATGTTAAGCACTCAAAGTTAACTGTAAGCGCTCACACACAAACGCTGCCTTTTAACGTACAGAATAATACTACTTGATTATTTATATTTTGTTCATTAGAATACGAGTGAGGTCTGGCGGTCTTGGGATCTTACTCTATTATTCAATTCAGTGGAGCTCGATGGCGCAGGTGGTTAGCACATTCGACTGCGATCGTTGAAGCAACTTTGGAAGTGGTCGGTCATTGGATAGGTGACTAAAAATCTTCTATCTCGAGTAAGTACGGGGGACTTAGGAAGACACGTTCAGCCGTTGATTTCGGTTGCATCTGCAGTCGTTAGCACCTACCAATCCGCACTGGGCCCGCTTGGTGGGTCATGACCCAATCGCCCTATTTGTTTTTTCTAGTTATATTTTCTTTAATCATTGCTAGTTATTCAAATGAATATTTCTCAGTCTAAGTAAGTCGTACGTCTTTATGCCGATGAATAATTCAAAATTACTCAATGGCAAGGTCAGAATTATGTAAATTTTATAAAAATATTGATAAGAGATCGACTGCATGTTCTACCGGATGCTATCACATATACATGTCCTAACAAAACCTACAAATACTAAAAATTTGAAAGTTTGTATGTTTATTACTCAATTAATCAATCTCTAAAAACTACTGAATGAATTTGGATGAAATTTGGCACACATATAGGTGCTTGAATGGGACATAGGATACTTTTTATCCCAAAAAAATGTCAGGTTCCTGCAGGATTCTCAAAAAACTAACTATAAAAGGTGGGTGGAAGCTGTTATGTAAGTTTATAGATTTCTAGAAACAATATATCGATTTTTACTCTACCAGATAAAAACAAAATTTAAATAACTATTTTTCAATTAATATATAACGAAATGACTTCACATTTTTACCACACCTGATGTTCAATACTCTTATCAATCACATAAATTATTGTGAATGATAATTAAGTAACGACACAATCAGTGTTTTTTTATCAGCAATTGCTAAAACTTGATTGGAATAAAATTATATAAATAGATAAGCCTTTTAGTATCTGATAACCCATAATTTGTAATTATTAGAATATCACTTCCTAAGTATAGCATACATACTTAATCCATAATTTCCTTTTTTTGACGACCTCCATGGTCAAGTCGGCGACACCATGAAACCCGGCGTAGAAATCGTACGCCGGGTTTCGCCGACTCGAGAGGTCCCGGTTCGAATCCCGGTGGGGGCAGATGTTTGTGTGATGAATACGAGCATTTGTACTCCAGTCATGGATGTTTATTATGTATTTCTATATAAATATACTTATATATGAACAGTATATGTATTCCATCCGTTACCCTAGTATCCCATAACACAAGCCTTACAGTTAAGTGCTTACTTTGGGGTTAGGCTAATTGGTGTGAGTGTTGGAAATACTTATTTATTTTTTAAATTATTCCTCGTAGGTCTTCAAATGTAGATCAGTATTAATGTAACATCATTGCTGCACTGGTTCCGGAATTAAATTAAAGTTAAGATAATAAAATACTTTTTCAAGAAATTTGTTCATAAAATGCATTTACGGAGGTTGCATACATTGTTCGAAAGTTCGAAATTATCGGCCATACAACGGATCCCATACGTATTCTTTACGGTTTTTTTATTTCGGACGAACCTCGTTGGTAACGGTTTTAATCTATACCTTTTATTCACTTTAATACTAAAAAGAAAGAGATGAAAGGTGTGGTTTAAATTATTCGCACGTTTCGCCTTTAGGAAATGAGCACCATATTCTTATTTATTCAATTCTTAGAAAAAGTTTGCTTCATTACTTAAATGGATAAGTACTGTTTTCTCGCAAATGTGTTGAAAAACGTATGAGCTTCGTGCGGATTGGTATAGAAACTCGTGACTATTGCCAGCCAGCTCGACTTATAAACAACTTACGCCGCACTAATATCATAAATTACTTTAATGTTACTGACCATGAAAGTTAAAAACAATTAAGATACTTATGTTTTAACGACTTACATTTGGCGATTATGTTGTCTATGAATCCCATGGCCACTCTAAAGTTGAGGAAATTCCTCAAGTGCCTGGTCAACTTGTAGAAGCTTGCTAGAAGTGTCAGTTGTTCCCTGTGGTTGCCCTGCAGATAAAATGATGCAATGTTTAGACTTCGTATAACAAAAACATATTATTGACAAACCGAGATTAGTCGAATTAGGTAAGATGTTAATATGTATGTATGAAATATTTCAATATGAAGCTGTTATTAAAGGCTAAGCGAGTATTTTGAAGTGGAGTCAATCTCCACTTCAAAATACTTCGAATCGATGGTCCGGTACCTACCTGGTAGAATGCTATCTCTTCTGAATTCGTTATAAGCCTAGCGTTTACGTATCTGAATTCCCCTTCCAATTTCTGCTCTTGAACTGTCATCTTAGCTGCAAAAAGCAAATAAAGTTTTATTGTTTATTAAAGGCTCATAAACTAAAAAAAAACAACGTCATTTTGTTATTTGTTAGTAATAAGAGATTTATACAATAAAAGGCAATTCAACATTAAAAACGTTTTGAAATTAATGTTGAAATGTGTAGTTTTGCTTTTTTTAGTAGGAAAATATAATGTATTCTAATTGAATTGGAATATAATCAAATGAATATAACAACGACAGTATATAACATTATAGAAAACCCCCAATGAAATTCCGTAATTTTCAATGATTTCGTTTTGTAATCGATTGTATGGACGAGTTTTATAGCGTAGTGAGGAAGCTTTCCGCCTGCGACCTATGAGAGATGAAGTTAAGCAGTCTTATTATGATTATGGATACTCATTGAATAGGGTATTTGACAAGTTTTAGAAAATGATCTCACGTGATTGACTAATGTTTATGGAGTCCGTAAAATGTGGATATTCATCATTCTGTTGTGTATTTCAGTAAAAATAACCAAATCAAAAACTTCATTTTCAAGTTGCCGCGAAAACGTTTCTCTGGACAATATGGCGTCTTACTAGTGTGTGACGTCATTTTAGGCTCCGCCAATCCCAAGCGTTTTGGGTCACGTGACAATAGATAAGAAAACTATTTCGTGCGAAATCTTTTTCGTGGGTTTTCAGTAAAATTATGAACATTTTTTTTTTGTAAAAATAGTAAAAGCCCCTACCAATATTCATTCTTAACACAGATGCTAACATATGGCACTTTATTTTTAAAACTTTTAAATACCCTATTAGATTGGTGACTATTTATTTTATTATTCGTGCTTATGATTGACGTTTGTACTCATATACGGTTTTAATTGTTAGGTAAAAATAAACGCGTCGCATTCTATCACCGAGCCTTCGACTTGTGAGTTTTGCGGTCCACACGTTGATTTTACCCGCTTTAAAGTGAAACTATAGAGCAGGGATGCACAGACTTATTAAGACTAGGGGCCACTCGGGCAAATCATGAACTGATGGCGGGCCGCCAGAAGTATAGGTTATTAAAGGCAATAAAAACATTTGATAATAATTTATTAAAATTGAAAAAGAATTTATTAATTTGAAGCGTGGCACTGCATAGTGCTTACAATCTTTTTTATATTTGGCTCAAATTTACTTGTAGCAACACGTAAAACTGCTTCCAAACTTTCATTTGCAAGGCGGTTTCGATTTTTTGTTTTATTATTATTTAGTATTGAAAAAGATTGTTCACATATATAGGTAGAACCAAATAAGCTGGCACATTTCAAAGCGTTTATGCTTATTATTTATGCTGTCGGCGGGCCACCAGTATTCGACCGGCGCGCCGCATGCGGCCCGCGGGCCGCGGTCTGTGCATCCTTGCTATAGAGTAATACCGTATGTAAGGATATTTAATCATAATCATAATCAAAATCATTTATTCAGTTTAGGCTGTTACAAGCACTCATGAATGACTAGAAGCTACGCAATCGGTTCGTAAATCTAGGGTGGGAGACCTTGTACTGAGAAGAACCGGAAGAAGAAACTCAGCAAGGGCTGTTTTTTTCTCCCTGTTTTATTATTTACAGAGTCGTCAAGTTGAAAAATAACTTCAGAGATGATTCATGGAGTCACCTTTCATTACTGTGAAATTATACATTAATTGTTCACCTGCATTTTGATTGCTGTGTCATACAGTATAAATATAAATAGTGTTATTTATATTAGGTGTAATTAGACATAAACATCTTAAATATCAATTTCATCGTACACCCCCAAATCTGCATTAGGCCCACGTGGTAGATTATGACTTGATCAATATGGTATTGGGATAAGAACAATAGTTTTAAACATTCAACAAACCGAGGCCGGACTTGTACATCGTAGTACAAGCAGAAACGTCTGCAGAGGCTCAAGCACGAATTTTGACAGCTCTGTTATAACATCGCATTGACAATGTTTCTATGAAAACTAAGCCGCTGCCTTCTAGATGCAAGAACATACTGGCTCCTTCCAAACAAAATATGATGATTACGAAGCTGTAAAAATTCGTGCTTAGGCCACAGTTCGGCCACGGAAATGTGTGTATATGAGTTTGTTTTCACAAAATCACCATCGCGTCGCAATCACCGTATCAGTGCGGCTTCGGCCTGGCCATCATCATCAGCCTATTAAGGTCCCCACTGCTGTGGCACAGGCCTTCCCTATGGATGGAATAGGGAGATTGGGCCATGACCCACCACGCGGGCCAGTGCGGATTGGTGGGTGCTAACGACTGCAGATGCAGCCGGGACCAACGGCTTAACGTGCCTTCCGAAGCACGGAGGAGCTTGAGATGGTTAATTTTTGGTCAATGACTGACCACTGCGAAAGTTGCTTAACTTCAACGATAGCAGCCGAACGCGCTTACCACTTGCGCCATCGAGCTCCTCAACGGCTCCTCTCGGCCTGATATTCAGATAATATATCATCATCATATCAGATAATTATGTAAGTATTAATAGGTATATTGTATAAACGTATCAGAAAGCTACTACAATAAGTCTTCTTATTACGTAATGGAAACTGTTCAAAACGATGTCACGGTTGTGTCTCATATGATAATATTGATTATCGAATGTGCTTGGTAAAATCATTCAATTCAATATATTATTCTAGTTCAAAAAATTTTAGAAACTGATAAGATAATTGTATTATGTTCATAATCTAATTTCGATTATTATAACAAATGATTAGCTGAAAAATTATTTATACATCCGGAACACAAATTTTGCACAAATTTGAAATTGAATAATTAAATAAAACCTAAGAAACAAATATATTGAATAACTAGTGGCCCGCCCTCGCTTTGCTTCGGTGTATACCTGTAATGTAGACTATAGTTTTTGTTCAAAGGCTTGTATTATTCCAAGTAAAAAATTCGTTGCGTAGTTTAGGACCCGTTGTACCGAATCCAACATTGCTCTGCTGTTTCGATTTGAAAAATTCTTTTTGTATTGGACAGTGCATTTATCGAGGAAGGCTATAGGCTATATTTTTGTATTTTTTACACACGATGGGTTACATTATCGAAGTTTTCATACGGAACCCTAACTTTACTGAAAATACACTATAGCCTATATTAATAAGTGATAATGTAGGATTCAAACGGTGAAATTTTTTTTTAAATCGGTCCAGTACTTTTGATCCAATTCGTTAAAAACATACTTACATACAAACCTTTCCTCTTTATAATATTAGTATAGATAAGTTATGCCAGCTCTTTACTAGGCTAATCGTATTTGCTACTTGTCAATTTGAAAAAGTCTGTCCTTATTATTCTTTATGAGGAATGAAAAGGACAGACTGATATCAAGTTTACAAATAGCAAACACGGATAACCAAGCGAAGTACCAGCGTTATGCGTTAAATAGAATTATTTTCGTGTATAAGCAAAAATGTGGCTATGATTAAGAATAATCTTTAATATAACAATGAATCGCTGAATGTGTTGCTAAGCGCAAATCTCGAGACCAGCTTAACCGATTTCGATAATTCTTTTTTTAGAATATTCCTTGAAGTACGAGGATGGTTCTTACGCAGAGAAAATTTAAAAAAAATGCCTAATAAGTCCGAAAACAACAATTTTCTATACTTCCATACAAACGATTCGTTATAATACTTCATAAATTTCAAATGTTAGTGGAGCTCTTCCGGGAAGGCAAAACAATTGTGTGACGTGATATCAGTAGAATTTTGAAAAAGGCAAATATACCATTTTAATTTTTTTATAATTACTTATATGAAGAGTCATTTAAATCTACACTACAGCTCTACATCGAAGCGAAGCGAGGGCGGGCCACTTGTAAAAAATAAATTAATATTGGATAATATCGATAGTAAAGTAAAACGAAAAAAATTTTGTATGTAATAATAATAATAATAACCTTTATTTCTCACCATAATCACAATGTTGGTATTAATGGCTACATAAAAACAAATGTATAAAAAGCATGCATTTTTTTTTACCAAAAATAAAAGGTACGTATTGATCAGATTATGGTGGGTTGACACCTGAACTAGGATGAATCCTGTGTCTCAGGTAATCAACCCTCCACCCTATTCATAAAGTTGTGTACCATTTAGTAAACAATTTATTAATCCAGATAACTGTTCTTAAGTTATTAATTCAATGGAATAGCCAAAGGAGTTTGTTATGTGTGTGAGTGTGTGTATGTGTATGTGTGTGTGGGTGTGAGTGTATGTGTGTGTGTATGTGTGTGTGCATCTTATAATGTTTAACTTATTATTTTGAATATCGTTTCTGTATTTTTATAATCTAGCGTTTTTAAACTTTTTTGAAGTGCAGTTTTAAGATTATTTCTATTTAGTTTAATAATGCTGTTTAAATCATTGTAATATCTATATAAAAATGGACTTATGAAGTGTACTTGTCGTCTAGCAAACCCTGTTCTACAATTTGGGACAGGAGTACGAATGCGTCTTTTATTTAGGGGCAGCTGCGTAGGATCCATGGTTTTATGGTAGCGGAGAACCGAGTTGTATATAAACAACTGTCGAACAGAGAGAAGCCCAGTTTCCTCGTAGAGCTGTTTGGTTGGATATCTTCTAGGCTTACAGAACATAACTTTGATCACAGCTCTCTGAGCCCTTTCTAATTCCAGGAGAAAAGAGGCAGCTGCTCCACCCCACACCGTAACACAGTATGTCAGAAGAGATTGGCAGAGGGCAAAATAAATTTTACGAATGTAAGTAAGGTTAATGTAGGTATACTTTAAATAAAAGAGGGCGCTTGCTTCCTAATTTGTAAGTAAAATAACCGTGACTCGATTTAAATATATAATTAAAGACTGTTGATCTATTTGTGGGTGACAATATTAATAATGTATAACATGAGAGGGTCACCGTACTCTTTGCTTAAATCTATATATTTGGCAAACTATATAATTGGCAGAAAGTGTCCTGGGGAACTAAAACTAAGCAGGTACTATGTTTTTTAATGAAAATGTAAAAATACTTTATTGAAATATTTTTTTAGAAACGCCCGATTACCTAACAATATTCAATATCATTGGATTTTAAAATTCTGATAACTGTTCTCGTTAAAGCTCCATTGGGACTTTTACATTTTTATTTGGAAGTAAGAAAACCGCATAAAATTATTTAATATTATTAAAAAAACATATTTACAGTCAAATGATTGTATCAACGCTCCCTCCGTTAATGTTTTAGTTTAGTATTTTACTTAATATATTATTGCTCTAAATACTTACCAGTTGGTTTCCTGAGGAATGTCAGGAATACTCCGGACACCAACAAGTATGCCATCATTATGCCAGGTGTCTGGAATCAAACATTTATTAAATGTCATATGAACTTGTTATATTTGCTAATAAATATGCGGGTGCAGCAAGGGTGTATTAAATAACATGTTGTTGAATATACAAGAGATAAAATATGATAAATTTAAAAAATCAAAAAATCCCACTGCTGAAATATTACTTCAAATAAAAACTGAAAATAAAAAAACAAGTCCAGTAGGTAGTCTATAATTCTGTTAAGTAAGGAACAAAGCTACTTTAACAGTCGGGACCCATGAGATAATAATAGATAAAAAAAATCAATAATGGGTCCCGACTGTTAAAGTAGCTTTGTTCGTTACCTAACAGAATTATAGACTACCTACTTTTTTTTTCTACCTATGTCCTTTTATGAAAAATGGTGTAAGGAACCTAATCATGATTTTCAATTATCTAGAAATATCTAGATTATTATACAAGTGGGACAATACCCCACTCGACATATTTCGTCAACTTATTTTTTTTACTTCGTCACAATATGGCACCTAATTGTCCCCATATTGAATTTTGATTACTGTCATATCTTTAGTAGCACTCCCATGATTAAGACGAATCGATTGACGTATGAATCATTAAAATCAGTCCACGCGTTTGGTCTCTATAGGGCTGCCATCTCTAAAATGTGGCAACCAGGATAAGACGCATGATAACCCCGGATTTTGGAGCCCAGAACCCAGACAGACCAATAAAAAATAGTTAAAAATATCATAAATCAACTTTTTTATGTTGATCTAGGCAAAAGAGCTAGCGGTCTACCTCATAATAAGTGGTCACTACTGCCCATGGACACTTGCAGCACCAAGGGCCTTTCATGCGTTGCCGTAAATTTTTAAACCCGGACTACAAATGAAACCCCGCCCGGACGCTCCCCGGACGCACCGTAAACTAGGATAAATCCCGGGAAACCCGGACGGATGGCAGCCCTAGGTCTCTAGTGTGCTACAAAGGAACATACATACATATTTAGACTGTTAAACACTATACTCTATACCTTGTCTGCGCGTCGCGCTTCGCGCTCTTGCATTGCGCAGTCGGGTAAAAAGAAAGTCAGAAATGGAGCGCCCGTTTGGAGATGTGACCTTAATTATACAGAAGACCATATTAAATTAACTCTACCCTTTAATGAAGTTTTGTGTCTGTTCCGTGACTCTACGAGTTAGGGCAAGGTACTGATGGTCGGATCAGCACACTTTACTGCTGCTTCAGTTTTCTTCGCGACTGGACTGGACATCACTTAAGAAAGCCATACACGCTAGGGTATACCTGACAGGTTTACCTGTACAGTTCAACTGCACAGGTAAACTTGAGTTTAGTAGAGATCATACACGTAGTGGTAAACCTGCACAAACTTTCAGTTAAAACCTGACGCTCTAACAATCACCGCACCGCCACACACGCTCAGTTTTATCTGCACAGTTAAACTGCACAGGTAGAAAATATCAAAATTCATATGTTTTCGAGTTGCCTGTACAGGCGTGGAAACCTACGCAGTTATGTGGCATACACGCTCCGGTTTACCTGTACAGTTAAACTGTCATGGGAGTGCTACTAAAGATATGACAGTAATCAAAATTCAATATGGGGACAATTAGGCGCCATATTGTGACGAAGTAAAAAAAATAAGTTGACTTAATATGTCGAGTGGGGTATTGTCCCACTTGTATAATAATCTAGATATTTCTAGATAATTGAAAATCATGATTAGGTTCCTTACACCATATTTCATAAAAGGACATATGTAGAAAAAAAAACGGAGCGTGTATGGCTTGCTTTAGGCATCTTCTTCACTGGGTCATATGGTCACATGAAGGCTATTTTTGTTTTCGCTTCTGTATCGAATCTGTACAGATTCTTTACCGAAAACTATTTCTTTCGGTGCGGTGTCGTTTCGTTTTGTTTGCGGGAGTGACCGGACCGGCGAGCGAGCTGTGTATCCGGCCGGTAAAGAATCTGTACCGAAACTACTCAGTTATTCTTTCTCATTTAGTAACATGCACTCGGTAAATAATTTGTACAGATTCGGTACAGAAACGGAAACGAAACGAGTCCGCACTGACCCGGTGAGGAAAGCACCTTACATTTAACATTGAGTGGGGTCGAGTCATGTATAGACAATATTCTGAATATTAGCAGTTCGAGGCAATAATCCGAATAGAAAAAGAAAACAAAGAGCATTAGAATTTCATTAGTTTTATTCGATAACTAACTAACAACACAATAAATAAATTTTCCGTTCAAAGTCAAGTCAATGTACACATATTCAAGGTTTCAATAAACCGATATAAATATACCTTGCTTTGCATGCATGCATACATACATACATATGTCCATCGTTTAAGTGTGTTTAGGGGAGTAAAATTCGACTCGCGATTCGACTAAATTAAAATGTAGTCAACGGATGTTAATTAAAGTATAGCGTTAATCTAAATTATGGATGATATGCTTTTTGTAATTTAATTTGAAAGTTATGACAGTTTTTTTTATATTAAGTGGAAGGCTTCTTCAACACATTTATTCAAAGCCCCATTCGATGGCTGAATCAAATTTATTAAAAAGACTGTCTGAATATTACGCCCTATTTGGTGTACGCTACGCTCCAAAGGTTAATTAATAGTCTTGTTCTTTATTGTGCCCTTATGAGTTATAATCTATCATTATAAAATTTTGCAAAGTGTGGGCACTATAAAAGCAGTATTTTTGTGGAAATTTTGTTGCTTAATAAGCCGTTTTAGAGTATGGCCTGTACTCCAAGCACGAACTTTGAGAGATCCGTATTTGTATAGCGATCACGTCAAAGTTTCTATTGAAACTATATAATAAGCAGCACCCGTACCGAACGTAAGGACAAACTAGCTTTATATATATAAACTTTGATATGACGAGACGAATACATTTTCGTTAGTTGTTCGTGCGCGCGGTTACTGGTGTACTCTAGCTTAAACGTAAAAACGTAAACCATAAACACGGTTATTATTTCCTAAACTAACGAGGAACTTTTTTTTTATAATTGCACTAATAAGAAACTATTTACGCAGAATATAGCATAAGAACGAAGCACGAATATTGACTTTCTAATACGAAAAAATGAAGAGACTTATGTAGATTGCGTTTAATATAATTTTAAGTGATTTATCTAATTACAAAAAATATTGGGTTTATCTTACTTTAATTTGATTGCTTGCAAAATATATGTATCGTTGGGTCTGAGGAAAACGTCAGCATAACATGAGAGGCGAAGCGACCATGCCCTGTGCCCTTGTGATCATGCTCACTAAGCATTCTATTGACTGCATCGAAATGACCCTTATTTATTATTTTCTTTAAATTATCATTGTGTTATTTACCGATTCTTCATCATTTCTTCTTTTAGAATTTAAATACAGTAAATAGATATAATAAATAATATACAAGAAAATCACAGCAAGATCTCTGGAGCGAAAATACGATGAAAATAGCCATGTAGTACGGGCCACTTTGCAGAGACAAATTCATCAATCAAAAATTTCTGAATATGACTGATTTAATACAATTCAAGTGTTGAATGCTATTAAAATTTCAAGTTCCTTTGATAAATGTAATAAATAAATAAATATTTCCAACACTCACACCAATCAGCCTAGCCCCAAAGTAAGCACTGTAGGCTTGTGTTATGAGATGCTAGGGTAACGGATAGAATACATAAACTGATACATATATAAGTATATTTATATAGAAATACATATTAAACATCCATGACTGGAGTACAAATGCTCGTATTCATCACACAAACACCTGCCCCCACCGGGATTCGAAACCGGGACCTCTCGAGATGGCCACACCTTGAAACCCGGCGTATAAACCACTCGGCCACGGAGGTCGTCATGTAAAGTGTAAAGTCTATAATTTTCTTAATAAAGTTAAATTTTATGAAACTACATACTAGTTTTTTTCAAAGGTGATTTTTTTTGGTTAATTTTGTAACTTATTAATAATGTTTATTTAATTTGATTGTTCAATCTATGTAAACTCAGCTACGTTTTAATTTTAGTAAAGTTGAGACTTAAGGTGCTCGCTTAGAGCCCCCTTCCTACATAGTTTAAGAAAGATCGGAAAAATGAAGTTAATTATAGACACAAAAATATGTCGTACGAGTCTAAAGTTCAAAAAAGGTTTGAATAAAAATTTCAACTTTTGAAACTGGTTTCCTGCAACCTTTGATCATTTGATGAGGTAGTGGCTAGTGCGTTAGATCTGCCGTCGCGATGGAAATGAAGCAACCTTTGGAAACTTGACCAAAAATTATAATTATTTATTCAGCCTAGGCCGTTACAAGCTATTTTTTTCTCCCTGTTCTATTTCATACAGAGTTGTCGATTGCAATATGGCAGCAAAACTTGAAAAGTCAAGTTGTCAAATTCCATTACATTCTTAAAAAAATGATAAATATAAATTAATTTAATTCAAAAGGGTCATAGGATGGATAACCAAAATTTAACTATCGCGAGATTCTCGGGTGATCACAGCTGCATTCGCAACCGTTATTGACCGTCATTAAAACCCTGTTTGCACGAGTTATTCTTTGATGGCCAAGAGATCGATTACTGACCGTGAAGACACAACAGGTCACGTGATCAAACTTGATTATGCCATTTGTTTACATGAAAAACGTGTGCAGTTGTGATGAGCTATCGAATCTTAGAGTTGAATAAGGTACAATGAACCGAAGATAACACTTCTAATCCAAACTCAACACATCCATAAAATATTATATGTGCCATAGTATCTCTGTCTATTTGTTATGCAATCACGCTTAAATCGCTGAACAGATATTTGGATGAATTTTGATATAGGTAAAGGTAAAAGGAACCTTGGAGAATATATATATATATACTAGTGGCCCGCCCTCGCTTCGCTTCGGTGTAAAGCTATAGTGTAGACTATAGTTTTTGTTCTCAGGCTTGTATTATACACAATGACATTCTTCTAATACCCAATTACAATAGGCACGCGCCGCCAAGCCCGGTAGCGTCGGAACCGCTATGTCACTGAATTTTAAATTTGTAATATCTTCGAAAATATTCATTTAAATTATATGCGATAAAGGGCCAACTTGTTCTATATTAAATGCACAATGTATGTAAGGTACTTAATTGGATAAGGATGAATGTTATATTGCTTAAAATAGATTCGTAAATAATCTATTATTTCTCGTAAAAAGTATAGGATAAAAATTGGTTATTGTGGGTTATCCTTAAGAGATAGACATATACCATCGCGGACTTTTTTGTAGACCTTTTTAAGGTGTACAATACTGTAGTACATTATTTTGATCTATCTCGTGGGGTTCAGCCAGCGTTTGCAATGTAAGCGCAAAAAATGTGTTTATTTACGACCTTACATTATAAACCTCTAAAATTATCAGTGTTTCTCTACTATATTATGCATGTATTATACATATAAACCTTCCTCTTGAATCACTCTATCTATTAAAAAAACCGCATCAAAATCCGTTGCGTAGTTTCAAAGATTTAAGCATACAAAGGGACATAGGGACAGAGAAAGCGACTTTGTTTTATACTATGTACTGATATATATATATATATATATATATATATATATATATATATATATATATAATATCGCAGTATAATCCCAGTGCAGATTGGAACATATACACACTATTTTTTATAAAGACAATCTTTTCTAAGTTTAATTCCGAACTTTCGTTTCTGTAAAGAGAACTTGAACTGAGGATTGTCGAGGAATATCGTGCAAGTATTAAAATCCTTAATTATCATTGCAATTATCTATGATAATAGAAAAACATTCCATTCCTCATAGTCAGTTGTTTGCGGTCAACCGTGGAGCGTCCTACTTGAGTAATGGTTGACAAACTGAACGCTCAATAGTCTTCATAAAATATGAAAATATTTCACCAAGTTAAATCTGCCCCTCTAGCATGACCACCGAAACGGGATATGATAAAGCGATATATCGACATTAACTGTCAGACTACTGTCAAACTCCATAGTAGTCTGACAGTTAGTGCCGATATATCGCTTTAACATATCCCGTTTCGGTGGTCATGCTAGAGGGGCTGAGTTAAAAGTAATTACGATTATTTGGGCGGTTAGAATTTCGTTGAAAATATCACAACAGATTAACCTACTTATAGAGGAGACTATTAATGTCCCCACTGCTGGGATATAGGCTTTCCCTATGGATGGGTAGGGAGATTTGGCCGTGACCCATCACGCAGGCCCAGTGCAGATTGGCAGGTATCAACGACTGCAGATGAAGTCGGGATCAACGGCTTAACGTACCTTCCGAAGCACTGAGAAGCTCGAGCTTAAGTATAAGTTTGTGGTCACCCATTCAATAACCCAACATTGCGAAAGTTACTTAACTACCACGATCGCAGGCCAAACGCGCTAACCTGCGTCATTGAGCTCTTTATTTATATTGGATGTATAGTCTTTTGAATCGTCCAAAAATTTTTTTATTATCCATTGCCGCAATAGAAATAAAAATTCTGTCAACATTTTAACTACCTATCTCTTGTTATGGGTTCATGAGCCGCTGAATCGGAAATTACTTGCTGTCTGTGCTGACAACTGCACAATATGACTTATAATTTTGATACCATATAAAATTTACTCATTAACATTTTGAATATCGCGGTCTTCAAAGTTTTCAGAATAGTTTTTTTAAATCGTACATATTAATACGTTTTATGCAAATCGACATTCGGATACTCCACCAAAAACAGTAGAAAAATACGCACTAAAGAAAGAAAACAGGGATGTCATGGCGTAAACAGTTAATCTACTGTTAAAATAAAACAGTAGGATTGTCAACAGTGGCCACAATTTGAAATAGAAAATACAAAAACGATTGAATAAATAAAATTATGTACTTACAGAAGCCCCCAAGTTGGTGGTCAACCGGTATAAGTAGATACTAATGTCCAAAAGAGGTTTGCTTATATTACTATATAAGTCTATGACAGTATCACAGAATTTGTCTACGTCTGTGGTTAGCACTTGGTCTGCATTTGATATTCGGTTGTCAAGATTAGTCACTTGGTAATAAGTAAAACCCCTGAAATGGTAATTTATTATATTTTTTTTGTAAATAAACAAGTTGCTGGTGTTGCACTTGGCTATTAGTTACAGCAATATTTACTTTTAATACGATAATTACGAGTAAGTACATATTGCTATCAAATTAACAAATACCAAATAAGAATAGCCAAGTAAAGTGGTAGCATTAAAGCTTTGTTCAAATCAAGACGAATCCCGCGCAAGGCAGAACCCGACACGCTCGCGCCGAGCTGGAGCAGTCCAGGTAATTAGTATGGACGTGTTCACATTGGCGCGAATAGTTGCAGCGAAATATACGCGGGATAATGCCTGATTAATTAAAATTGAATCTTAATTCTTTTTACAAATAATAAAAGAAACATGATTCTGTATGAACTTAGCCACAAAGATTATAAAATACTTTTTTATTTTTTCGCAATGTGGGTTTTAAATTATGAATCTCCCTAAATTCTATGCGTTGAGTACTCAGCTTATGAACTTATTTTCTTCTTTTTTCTTCACACTTTGAGATGCTTCTTAAATTAATGCTAATAACAAGAAAACTCAGCTGCTTCGATATCAAAAGACATGAAAACATTGAGAAACCAGAAATATTGACGCACGGATTCTATTCGCCTGAATTTAGGAGGCTAAGCGAGCGGGCGAATTGCGCAGATTAGCGTCCAGAGTAGGATTGTTCTCAATTTTAACAAAGCTTAGGCTTAAGAAAGTTTTACTAGAAAAAAATCTTAAAATTTAAACAGCAGTAAATGCTTGAACATAAAAAAATATATAAAAAGCTTAGGTTTGTTTAATGAAAATAATAGGTAGATGTGCCAAGATCAACTTACTTAAGATACTGTTGATATAAATGTAGTGATAAATTGGTTCTTATTCTTAATTTAGTTTCTCCTATACTCCATTTTAATACATTATTGACTATTGATATCTGAAAGGATAAAAAATAGTTAAAATGGTACATAATTAAAAATTAATTTAATATCAAAAGTAGCCCTTATCTGAGGACATCATCATAATGCTTTGGAATTTTTAATTGCACTTTATATTTAGTTAGGTGAATATTTTATTGAATATTAACATATTATTATTGCTACTCATTTATTCAAACTATATGGAAAATACAAACCAGAGGCATAGCGATAAAGAACTGTGTTAATAGTTTCTTGAATTCAGGCAAGTCCATTGTGATTATCGAGCTGAAACAACATTTAATTTTTAAAATACTTAATTACTCATTATAATCATTAATCTGTCTGGAGCACTTAAACTCATGGAGAGGCGGATTTCAGAGGGAGATTTTGGGCGGGGGATGGTCAAACAAGAAATCTCATAACTTTAAGTCCTACTTTGCTTGATGATCACCTACTCCCAGTATTTGTCCGATACTGGGTTTGGCGAACGGGTCAGGGAGTAGAGCAAGTCGCACGGATCCCCTAATCAAGGCCAGAGGACTATCCTTCCGAGGTTACCTCCCGTTTTTGGTCAAATACCTTCCGTAATTGACGTATCGAAAACCTCTGGTCGGACCACAAATCCCGCATAGCCGAACCATGGCGGAGCATATCTACACTCGGGCCCACATGGCCTAGGGGAACTAAATACCACCTAAAAGATTGTACCACACACCCCTGGGCAGGAGTCGTGTGCTTTAACTTTTTTTTCAAAACAACATGAGTGCTGCGAAAAGAGAAACAGGAGATATAGGAGGGTATCGCGAATAGCGAAGACGGGGTGCTAGCGATGTGGTGTGACAACGAAAACGCACTAAAGTGGCTCGAGCAAACGGTGAAAACCATGCAGAACACCACGTTAACGGTCATCAAGCTGTCGGATGTGAAGAAGAAGCTCAGAGCTGGGCTTTTTCTTCACACCCGAATCACGGAGTCTGCCACACTGCAGCGAGTAATATGTGCCCAGAACCCTTGGTACAAGGTTGATTCCTGGCAGTGCTACGACATGACTGTTGATGACAAGCTGGAGAGTAATTCCAAGGAGAAAGTAGGCCACCTAATCCTAGGAATCCTCGAGGACCAGAAACAGACGATACTGGACAGAGAACGCCGTGTTGCACACATGCCTGGCAGCGGATACATCCGCTTTTTCACGCCAGACGAAGCAACACCGGCTGACCTGACAGTAGCAAAACCCAATGTGACTACAGAGCAGGAAGGCACTGCGGTCCCGGCACCAACCACCTCAGCTCCCCAACCGGGTCGGAGCGAGATGGAACCGGGAGCAATCCTAAGCTCGGATGACTGCGCCAGCGCTGAAGATGGCGTCCTACGTAGTCCCTAGTCGCATAAAAATCATACAGACCAATCTTCAGTACAAGCAAATAGCGGCGGCAGGGTGCTGGAGACGAACAACAAGACCGTCGCCCTGATCAAGGAACCCTGGATCAGAAACAATAAGATCTGCGGTCTGAACAACATTGGTGATAAGATAAGTTGCCGGCAACACAAATTTTTATAATTTAAAAAAAACATGTTGTTTTCCGTTTCCTTTTTACCATCTCTCTGCATAATTTCGTTCTTGTGTGATTACATGTGCTGTGAATATTTAATAATAAAATATCGTATCTCTGCAACCGGTGGTTTTCCTTGCAACCAGAAACTACAGTCCACCACTCCTAGAGCGCACAAAACACATCTATCGATAAACCAAGGGCATGCATTTTCGTGCCAAAGTCCTTAAAAACAACCATGCTTAACCAATTCTATTCTAGAGACCTCACAGCTGTGACGATCCCCACAGATAATCAAACAGTCCTGGTACTAGCTTCAGTCTACATGCCGAATGAGGGTGAAATACCTCCCAGGAAGCTGACCGAGCTGGTATGACACTGCGAGAACCACAAATGGGAGTTTGTATTGTAGCGGATGACGAAGCGGAAGATGTGCCATCTTCCCTTTTTATACACAAACAGAAGAAGCCAATGCAGTGCTACTGGAAACCCACTTCCCAGGATGTCCGGCGCCTGGCCTTAAGTGGTCGAAAGAGCACCACAATGTACCAACAACCCAGGAATGTAACCTGGCAAAAACGATAGCAACGCTGGAAAGGATAGAATGGACTCTAAAGAACTTTCAACCATTCAAGTCGGTAGGACTAGATGGTATCTACCGGCGCTACTACAATGGCAACTCGGCCAGGCAATTAAATACTTTCAACCAATATTTAGGGCCTGTTTCGCCTTCTAATATATACCGAAACCATGGAGGGAGGCAAAAGTAGTCTTCTTACCGAAACCGGGCAAAGACGATTACACGATTATTTACGATACACAAGCCAAATCCTTTAGACCAATTAGTCTAACCTCTTTCATTTTGAAAACATTGGAAAGACTGGTAAACCGACTCCTTAAAGATGGAGCACTTAGTAAGGTCCCGCTGCACCTTCAACAAGATGCCTACAGAAAAGGCAGATCAACAGAGTCGGCACTGCATGCGGTGGTCCATAAAATAGTCCTATCACCACTTCTTTGGAACATAGTAGTAGACAGTCTCTTAAGAAGTCTGAATGATAGAGGATACACCACTATTAGTTATGAGGACAACCTAACAATTCTGATAAATGGGAACGCTGAAAACATCCTTTGTAAAGTTATGCGTTCTGCCCTTCAGATTGTGGAAAAATGGTTTGACGAATGTCATTTGTCAGTAAACCCGAATAAAACAGAGCTTGTTCTTTTCACAAACAAAAGGAAGCTAACCGAACTACAGTTACCAAAACTGTTTAATACCAAACTCATTACCTTGATAACAAATTGAACTGGGCAAGTCATATTGAATTAAAAACAAAAAAGGCCTGTATAGCTTTTAACCCGTGTAGAAGACTAGTTGGTAAAATATAGGGGTCTTAGTCCAAAGATCACTCTTTGGCTATACACAGCAGTCATCGGGCCCTCAATAAGTTACGGTTCAGTTGTTTGGTGGCCGAGGACCCAACTGACCACAGTGAAATCCAAACTCCAAAGTCTACAATGCTTGGCAAGCGTAGCAGCAACTGGATGCATGAGAATGAGTTTATGAGTAATCTTTTTGTAATCAATCCAGAATGATACAAAATTCTTTTAAACATATCAGCAAAAAAATGTTTAATGTATATTTTAATACTAAAAAATAATTAAAATCTTAGTAAGTAAAAAGTAGTTGAGTCAGACTAAATGTGGTACTGAATCTTCCAAAAATGTTTTAAACTACTTTCTGATGATCTGTGAGCAAATTATAAGTAATAGATATATAAGTAGTGTAGTATTAAAATGTGGTTGTCAATGTCATCATAAACACATAAAATACAATTATTAGTCTAATAAATAACTTAGTTCAAGTGATAAAAGTATTACTAATAATTTTTATTTTTTAATAACACAATATAAAATTAGTTCTCTATGAACTATGATAATAGGATTCCCTTTATCATAGTTCAGAGAGCCTATTCAGGCATGTTTATTTTTTATAGTTTTATAACATATCTGTTAACATAGTATAAACGTCAAAAAAATAGTGATATAATAATAACATTGAATAACAAGTGATAACATATCTAAAAAAAAGTTGAATAGCCACTTTGGGCCGGCATTTTAAACACTCCCTATTTTGGAACTCTTGGAGTGACAGAACAGTCTATAGCAACCTAGCTACAAAACAAACAACGATTAGGGGGTAATGTGTGATTGCACTATACACTAGGTCTTGTTGACTTTGACAAATCCTGTGAACATGGCATTTGTTTATTTATATGTATTCCTATGTCAAAACACTCTGTTGCTTTTCAGATATAAAAATTACCTCCAATTTTATGCACTTTCCGATCATTTTTATCTTGCTCAAAAGGAATTTTATTCAAAAATACTAATCGGGACAAAACAAAAGCAATAAGAGTTTATATACGAAAACTTTGAGCCTTATTTGAATAACATGCTTATTTGCTATTGGTAGTTTGTGATCAAATACGGCATGACTTAGCATTTAACTAATTCTTTCAATTTGCATACAAAGCCAGTTAAATCTCATTTAATCACATGTAAAAACTTCAGTTATTGTAATGACTCTGTTATTTAAATAAGCAAATGAAATTAAATAACCTTTATTGAGAGCTAATATTTTAGTAACCAATTTTATCACATTATTTTGTGTTATCAAGTAATTAGATAACATTTATATACCTTTCTAGAGTAATATTGATATAATATATTGTTTTTAACTTTCATGGTGTCATCGCTAACAATATACTATTACGTTTCTCCCTGATCATGGTGCTTGCAAAAGTGCCAAAATATTGGAGACTCATAAAAAACAAAGTACATGGTAATAATCCCGTTAATAGCTATAATTGATATAATAGTTAATGTTGTACTTACCCCTCAATTAGTGTCGAGTGTTGAATGAGCCAAAGATCACACAATGATCTAGATATCAGTGATAATGCAATGAGCACCATCAAACCACTCTCTTTGCTACATAAGCCAGGAAACATTATACCCCATAGTACTTTTAATTCAGCAAAAAAGCGGGCATCCACTTGAGCTTTTGGACTTTTTTTCCTTTTTTCTTTTATCATATACTGTATTTGTTCTTCTGGAGATAGACGTGCAAGTTTCTTGTCCTTTTTGTTTTTTCTAAAAATAATGATAGAAGCTTATCATATCTTCAAACTTTTAAGGAATCTACGATAATTGAATATATATTTGATATTAATACCAGTGACGAAAGAGACGATTAATTTTATTAGCGAGTGCATTAAGGCATAAAAATAATAAGTAAATAAACTCTTATTTCGAAGCTTATTTTCATTCAACTATGTCAGTTATTCAAACATACATATGATCTTTCTGTTAATGTTTTGATAAGAACATAAATGGCAAAAATTAAGTGTAGGTTGAATGATTATAATATATATCAAACCTTCCCTGCAAAGCATTCCTTATTACCCATGCACTTATAGCTGCCGAAGCAGCCAATGCAATTTTAACATCTGTCCTTGTAGTTAATTTACTGAAGTTTGGGGCCATTGTTGAATTTCAGTAAATATGAACTAATTATACTCAAATACCACTATCACTGTTACCACTCCAACATCAACCACACAATACAAAAAAACCAGTCAATGACCAATGATCACAATGTAAGAAAACTGTCTTATCTGTTGAAAGTGACAGAACAAGCAAGCAGTGTTTCCACTTTAATGATTTCCTTTCCCCATGCCTCAATTCAGATTTCCCCTTCTTAGGACATTTTTCCCCCTCAAAAATTATTCTGCTGTAATTTTTAGATTTGGCACTAGTATAGTAACTAAAGAAAAAAAAGGTCTTAATCTATCTTATTCTGTAACAGATAAATAAAATATATAAAATCTGCACGTGTTGACACAGTTTCTTTTATACAGCAATACTCTAGTCCACGGTATAGTCCATAAAAATTTTGTTCCGTGCCGCATTATTTTAGGCTAAGCTTTACCCATAATTTCCCGCAGTTTCGCTTTCTTCTTCTTTCATATCTTTCCCCTTTTTCTTCCCCTCTGGACCCTTATTTCCCCTTAAAAGGGGAATTTCCCCTCATTGTGGAAACACTGCAAGCAAGACATCTGGGCTACGTTCAAAACTTACGCTCTAGGTGCAAGAAATGTCTAAAGTCCAAGCTAACATTCATTAGCTTCATACATTATAATTCATTACTGTATTGTCTGAATTTGTCTGGGTAAGAATTGCGCTACGCGTAGATATTGAACGTAGCCCAGGGACACGTTCGAAACCTGCGCTCCAGGTACAACTAATGTCACATAAGTTTCATAAATATTGGTGCCGATTCTGGATACAAGTTTCTTTCTTCTTTTCATTCTGTAAAGAGAATGACAAGGACACTCTGTTGTCAAATTTTAATTTAATTAAAAATCGACCGGGGTTTTTGGCGGGATTTCATCGAGTGCGGTTGGCGTCTTATTTTAATTATTCTTAAATTCGTTCATAGTGGATATTGTGAAATAAAATTGGTGTGGTTTTGTGTAACAACTATCTGCGTAACTGTAGAATTAGTGGAATCATTAAAATATACGCTATTCCGGTCAAGTGGACGTGAGAATTTTATTGTAGTGTTGACTACCTCACAGAAGCTTATCGAAAAAGCCAACTCGATACATTTCGTGCCAAACACTCCAAGAAACATTAGAATGCGTCACACCGACATTCTAATGTAAAAACAAAAAGAAGATAAATTTAATTAAAGACCAGGCTGTATGGGCATTGTTCCCTTTGCCTTCCCTAAACGGGAGAACTTCAACAAAAAAAAAATTAAAAATCGACCACCCAACATCTTTTAAAATATTATTTAAATTATATGATGTTATGATGATTCATTATAATTTTTAATGTATGTAAATCAAAAAGAATTAAATCTGTGTAATTTTTCCCCTTTTTTATTTTATTTACATATTTCTTCGGTATCATCCCATTTAGCACTCTTCTTACTATTTTGAATTGAAATTTCATTTTTTCTAGTTATGTTTTTTTTAGATTTAAACATCAAGTAGTTATATGCTTAGAAAATAAAAATTTTAACCATAATTGCTATTTCTGCTTTAAAATGTTTAATACTTGTTAAAGTATTCATTTGACACTGTGGGTTACCTACAAAATGCGAAGAAATGGCGCTGCTTTGCAGCTTAAGAATAGCTGGAAGAATTGCAAAGTGGCCATCAGGGCCGCGGTGGCATAATTGGTCAGTGCATTCGCCCGAATAGCGAAGGGTGCGGGTTCGAGTCCCGTCTGCTGCCTGGTCCACGTAGATTATTTTCTAGATAAATTTTCTTTAGATTTAAAAATCAAGTAGTTACATGCTTAAAAAAATAAAATTATACTTTCATTCTATTATTAGCTCGGTGAAGGTCGATGTAGGTTCGAATCTTAGCTTTATCTTAGACCATATTGGGAAAGGCAAACCCATGCAGTCATCGTCTTGTTTTTGGGTTAATATACTTTTTTTACATTAGAATGTGGATGTGACGCATTCTAATGTTTCTAGGAGTGTATGGCACGAAATGTATCGAGTTGAATTCTCAGTCAAGTCACAGATTACTTAGTTAGTTAGCTCATGTGTCGATTCTGGCATGATTCTCTAAACTTAAAACTGGAATTTAAGTTAAGTCTCTCGTTTTCTTTCTGTAAAGAGAATAAAAAGGATACACTGTTGTCAAATTTAATTTTAGTTTAGAGAATAACCAGGGTCGATACCTCAGTTACAAAAGTAATCTGTGCCTTACTTTGCTTAGTTGGGTTGCTATTGCTATCGGTAAGTTGCAGTGCGGGATTGATGCAGGAAAATAAAATAAGGTCAACTTAAAAATAATAATGTTTTATTTTTTACATTTATATCTGTTTGGACACAAATAATAAATTAACTTTATACAAACACAATAAATTACACACAATAATCCAAGGAATCTACTAGCTAATATGGACTAGAATAAGTTATTTTGTACAGAGTATTTACACCGGTAGAGATCCATCGTAGGGTTTGGAATGATGTGCAAGCGGCGAGCGGTTCAGTCGACCTCCTCGACGGTGGGCCCGGAGTGCGGCGCCCGCTGCTGCGCGCCCGCGCCCGCGCCCGCGCCGTGCATCTTGCTCATGAGGGGCGCGCACACGCGCTGCAGCTCCTTGAGCCGGTGCTCGAACTCGTCGCGCTCGGCCAGCGTGTTGTTGTCGATCCAGCGCAGCGCCTCGTCGCACTCGCGGCGCGCCGTCTCCTTGTCCTGCTCGCTGAGCTTGTCGCCCGCCTCGTCCAGCGCCTGCCGCACATTGAACGCGTACGACTCCAGCTGGTTGCGCGCCGACACCCGCTGCCGCTGCCGCTCGTCCTCCTCCTTGTACCGCTCCGCCTCCGACAGCATGCGGTCGATCTCGGCCTGCGACAGCCGCCCCCTGTCGTTCTTGATAACGATGTTCTTCTCGCGGCCCGTGCTGCTCTCTTTAGCCGACACGTTCAGGATGCCGTTGGCGTCCAGGTTGAAGGTGACGTCGATCTTCGGCACCCCGCGTGGTGCAGGCGGAATGCCGGTCAGATCGAACCGACCTAGCAGGTTGTTGTCTTTGGTCATGGCGCGCTCGCCCTCGTACACCTGGATGGTAACAGCGGGCTGATTGTCTGAGTAGGTGGTAAACGTTTGCGACTGCTTGCAGGGTATCTTCGCGTTTCTCTCTACGATCTTCGTCATCACTCCACCCGCGGTCTCGATGCCGAGCGATAGGGGCGCCACGTCTACCAACAGCACGTCTTGGATCTTGCTATGCTGCTCGCCGCTCAAGATGGCCGCCTGTACCGCGGCGCCGTATGCCACCGCTTCGTCGGGGTTGATGGACAGGTTCAACTGCTTGCCGCAGAAGAAGTTCTGCAGCATGCTCTGAATCTTGGGAATGCGCGTGGAGCCGCCGACGAGCACCACGTCGTGGATCGAGCTCTTGTCCAGCTTGGCATCCTTGAGCGCCTTCTCCACCGGCTCCAGAGTGCCCCGGAACAAGTCGGCGTTCAGTTCCTCGAAGCGAGCGCGCGACACTCGCGTGTAGAAGTCGATGCCCTCGTGCAGCGCGTCTATCTCTATAGTGGCCTCCGTGCTCGACGACAGCGTCCGCTTGGCTCGCTCGGCGGCGGTGCGCAAGCGGCGTAGGGCGCGCGGGTTGCTGCGAATGTCCTTCCTGTACTTGCGTTTGAACTCCTCCGACAGATGGTTGACGAGTCTGTTGTCGAAGTCTTCCCCGCCGAGGTGCGTGTCGCCGGCGGTGGCCTTCACTTCGAACAGTGAGCCCTCGTCGATGGTGAGTATGGACACGTCGAAGGTTCCGCCGCCGAGGTCGAAGATCAGAACGTTCCGCTCGCCCTTGAGGTTCTTGTCGAGGCCGTAGGCGAGGGCGGCGGCGGTGGGCTCGTTGATGATGCGCAGCACGTTCAGGCCGGCGATGGCCCCCGCGTCCTTGGTCGCCTGTCGCTGGGAGTCGTTGAAGTACGCGGGCACGGTGATCACTGCGTCCCTCACCGTCGATCCCAAATACGCTTCCGCCGTCTCCTTCATCTTCGTCAGAACCATGCTGCTGATCTCCTCCGGCGCGAACCTCTTGGTTTCCCCTTTGAAGTCGACCTGTATCTTGGGTTTGCCGCAGTCGCTGACCACTTTGAAGGGCCAGTGTTGCATGTCTTGCTGGATCTTCGGGTCGTCAAACTTGCGGCCGATGAGTCGTTTCGCGTCAAACACCGTGTTGTTGGGGTTGAGAGCGACCTGGTTCTTCGCGGCATCGCCGATCAGTCGCTCTGTGTCTGTGAATGCGACGTACGATGGAGTGGTTCGGTTGCCTTGGTCGTTAGCGATGATCTCCACGTTTCCGTGTTGCCAAACTCCGACACACGAGTATGTGGTTCCAAGATCTATTCCTACAGCTGGCATTGTGGCTTCAAATTCACTTTTCGTATATTCCAATCCAAATATGTGACGATTACTTTGTAGCTTCGTAGACTGTTTGGGTGTTTCCACCGAGTTTTGTTTGTTTCGCTTCCGAGTTTATTCGAATACTGAATGTCTTGCCGCGCTTTTCGGCACTATTTATACCCCAAGACTGCGAGCCAATCACGCTCTAGTACGGTCTAGAAAGATCTACCGCTGCACCAATGAAATTCCATTTAGAGTAGAATATTCCAGAGAGGTCAAACCTACCAGCCAATGGCGCGACAGTGAGAGGGAAAACGCACTATGTATGACTGAGATAGCTATAACAACAACGCGTCACAAATTACTTTGGGGATGCCAGGATTTAAATTTACCACCAAAATTCGGTAGGTACCACTTTCATGTTGTGCGTTTATTGCGGTATGAATATGTAGGTTGTTTTGACTTTCTTCATGTTTCTTTTTAATACATATTCATATTCTAAATTAGTTCTACATTTGAAAGAAATAATTATTGTTCTTCATTGTTGCACATTTAGTCATAAAATTTATCGAATCGGCAATTTTAGGGTTAAGAATTTAAAGTTTACAAAAGTATATAAAATCATGGTCTTTTTTAGAATAAGGTTACGAAAACCTTTTCTTTTCAAGTTTAAAACAATCAAATATAATATAATTTTGACTCATAAACACCGGCTCTTTGACAGAATCTTTAAAGGTAGAGTACATTATTTTTTTAATAATTGTTTTTTGTAATTATCATTAAAAAATGTTATATCATAGAAATAATTATATAATTATAGTGTACTTAATCGCCACATATGTTACCATTTGTGTTGTTTAAAAATTCAAAATGTAAGAACATGAAATTAATAGTTAAAGGATCGCTGAGCGTCAATAAAAATGCATGTTATCGTTTTATTTTCATCTTCATATTCACCAACTTTTTGCAATATTAGTATAAAATTTCAAAAATTTTTAACACCTACATGTGACTGGTATTTGATTATATAGTATTTTTCGATAACAGGTTGACTTTTTATCGTCACTATTGCAATGTGTCATAAGGACTGTTTTTGGTACATATTTTTATTACAGAATCGCAACCTTGGAAATCAAGTTTAGCAATTCATTATGAAATGGACGATAACCATATGATTGTTTTTGTTTTACGATCTTGTAAAAAAATTGTTTATGCGAACTTCCTGATCCAAGTGTTCTTATTTTTTCATTTTCCTGAAACATCCTTGGAAAGCTTTATACCTACTTAACTGAATTAATTTCGTGTATATTCATGTTTTAAGAATGTTAATATATGAATAGGTAATTTTCTAAATTTTGCTTAATATCTCTTCTTCGGTGTCGTCCTAGGTTTTATTTTGTATAATTTTATTTGAGCAATAGGGAGAATAGCTACGAGAAGCTGGTATTAAATATCTAGAAGGTTCATTTTCTGTCCTATTTCTTCGGGGCTACTTTTCATCGTCTATCTCGTTTCTTTTGTTCCCTTGTATTATTTATATTATACCATTATGTTTTCAGCATTATTAGATACAATAGTCTTATTGTTACTTAAGCTCGAATTTAAACGCAGGTCTAGTCTGAGTAAAGTAAAAAGTTGTAATTAGGTATTTTTACCATAACACGCTTAGGTTTGAGGAGCTCGATGGCGCAAGTGGTTAGCGCGTTCGGCTGCGATCGTTGAAGTTAAGCAACTTTCGCAGTGGTCGGTCGTTGGATGGGTGATCAAAAATTTACTATCTCGAGCTCCTCCGTGCTTCGGAAGGCACGTTAAGCCGTTGGTCCCGGCTGCATCTGCAGTCGTTAGCACCCACCAATCCATAGGGAAGGCCTGTGCCCCAGCAGTGGGGACATTAATAGGCTGATGATGATGATGATGACGCTTAGTTTTTATGCTCTTTTCAACAAAAATCATTTTAAAGTTTTTTTCGAGAGCTTTACGCTGATGTATACTAGTCCGAGACCAATCATTTATCTATGTCAATATGTTTGAGCTGGAAGAGCTTGAAATGGTTATTATTTGCGAACATAATAATTTGCAAACTGAAACGGCAATATTGTATATTATATCATACTCAATATTTATCAAACAGAAAAGGAAAAAATTAAATCTTTTAAATATACCTACACTTTTAACTCTTTAAAATGTTGCATAATATCTCTCATAGTTTTTGACATTGATATTACACTTACTTGTTTTTGAGTTAAGTAATTTTGAAGAAAGGCAATATTTTCCAAACTTGCATAAAAGTTCTCTTCACTTTAACCGTTTGATCAACAAGTATTGTTGTTAGAAGCATCAACCGCATTTTTTTTTAACGGGCAAGAGAACAAAAACTAAGCAAATTGTAAAATAGTAAAGATCATTTTTAATTGGAATGGTAATTAGTTACTTAGGTAATTGAAAGTTACGTATTTGCAAATTTTTTTACTGCAATACAAATTGGGACACATTTTGACTTTGTCTTATCACTCGTTAATTTTTTTGCTAGGAACTTCCATAAAAAATTTTTCTTCTCTCTTAAATCTTCTAGGAATTTTCCCCAAAATTTGCTTTGTTTTTGCATATTTCATGTTAAAACTTTACATTTTGGCGTTTGATGAAGAAGAATTATTAGTATTTTATTTATTTTTTTAAGATAGATCTTGACTTCTAATGTTTGTTTTTCACAAAATACTTGTTTACAGAGTTCTTAACGAAAAAGGGCCTGAAATCGTGGCAATACTTTTCAAAGTTTTCAATGAGTTATTTATGTAAATTTTTCTACAAGAAAAAACATATTTTCAGACCGTTTTCTTTTGACTGATAGGCAATACTTTTCCACTTTTTTCTAGAGTGAAAACGTCAAATTAGCAATAACAAAAACACGTTTTAGAATTAAAGTTGCTTAGAATAAGTCAGTTTATCTATTTCATGTAGCAATAACATTGTATAGCAAATACAAAGTTTTTCCATGATCTATTTCCATTCTTATTTACTCGTATAACAAAATATTTTTCTTCCCCGAGAAGGGATGGCGTTTCTCCTAGGCTAAAAGTAACCCTCGGCACAATAACAACTTCGAAGTAGGGGGACAGTAGAACCTTAGATTAAAACAAATTCTTATTTTAATCTAAGAGTAGAGTAGTAGACAGCCAAATTTTGTCGCTATCGGTGCTGTTTGGTAGAATTGCTAGGGAAAACGTGCATTGACTGGATTAGTAGACGTGACAGCAAATACAATAACACACATTCTGTGAAAATATCAGTTCTAACTATGTATTTCCGTTCAAGAGATAAAGCCTGTGACTGACAGACTCAGATTAATAGGGTTCTGGTTGACACCCTTTGGGTACGGAACCCTAACAGGGTGATCCGCCACAACATAATTTTAAGAAGAAAACTGCTAAAGTGACGCTTCCCGATCCCGCCAAAAAGTCCCCCATCTCTCTTCGACATTTGAATAGAGTCTATAAGACATAACTTTGATCGGTATGTAAGTATTAGAACTAACTATGGACCAAGCTATGGACTCTGACTTAGATAACGAAATTAGATTGAAGGAATCTGATAATAATACCAATTTTTTTAACAACAGCGATACGCCCTCGCGTCAAAATAAATAATAATACTAAGAAATAATAATATTAGTTATTTTATACTTTTATTACGATTTTGTATTTAGCCAACCTGCGATAAATATTTTTATTATATTACCAAACCATATCAAACAAACAGAACAACACAAAAAAGGAACATTATTACACAGTTAGGTCGTTGGGGAACACCTCTTTTTTTCTATGTTTCGTCTATTGTAATCTGTAGTTCTGTGGGGAACCGTTTACAAACAAAGAAAAGATAACCATCCACGAGAGAAGGAGACGGATTGCTGTCCCGGAGATTTAGATTCAAGAAGAAAAGGGACAGCAAATAAACTTTCTAGAAATATTTATACCAACTTCAGATCGCAATTCTCCCTATTTTCGTACCTATTGCCTTCTATACAATTGCCATAAAGGTGAATGAAAATATTAATAGAATTTTGTAACTAGCGGTTGCACACCGCTAGGCTCTGCTTCGTAAGAGTGCATTTTATTCATAAGAAATTGAAAAGATAAAACTAGTTTTAACGGGTTAATGCACGGAATTTTATTTGTTTATGTTTTGTGAAACGTCTTCATAGCCTTTTCAGGTCTGCATCGTCAGAATACTGATTTTGACGTGACAACGTCTTAAATTAGGTTGCGGCTGGGAGTCACTTATGAAAAAGTGTAACGCTCGGTAACGTTACGATGAGTCTCTCGTGTTAAGTTTAAGTTTACATGTACAATGTTTTAGTAAACAAAATATATTTCTATAGTTAAAATTTGTGCAATTCTTATTTTCATTCAATTCCTTGTTCCTATTGTGCAATTTAATTATATTCATATCAATAAATATTCTACCGAGAAAAAGACGTTGTCACGTAAAATCTTCGCCCGTAAAACCGACTTTACAGGCAACCATTTTTTTATTTGATTTTTTATAAAAAAATCAGTATTCTGACGATGCACCTGAAAAGGCTGCGAATCGTCAATAAATAAATAAAGTTTCGTGCATTAACCCGTTAAAACTAGTTTTATTTAATGAGTGATGTGCATGAAAACCTAAGAAACAAATAAATTGAGAAGAGTTGAGATTTTAAACAAAAATATCTTAACGAGTTTCCAAAAATTTCAGTGGTTTAAAAATTTGTTCTTACAAACCTTATCCTGAAAATTAGTATAAAGTACAATAAAGAAATATTTTTTATTTGGTGCAAGCTTCCAAAAGCTATATGCGTATGTACATACTTATATTCCCGCAATTCATTTCCCGATTTTCAAAATGTTTGGTGGTTTCTGGTGGAGATTAAAATCTTTTATACAAGGTCAAAAAAATACAGTAAAGGAAAGAAGTCTTTTGATAGTAATTTATCTACGTAAATTTCGACAATTAATTTTTATTTGTGTTTTCTTAGGTAAATTACGTTAACTTACGGATTACATTTACGAAGTGTGAGCAAAATAGAATGAATAAAATATTTAAAGATGAATATATAAAGCAATCTAGTACTTTCATACTTTATTTATTAAAATTAGTATAATTTGGACTCCAACCGTCTTAAAGAACGTACACATTGCTAAACCTGAACTAAAATTGATGCTGTCACTTTTGTTTTCTAAACAGAAGACGGAGACAACATTAGGTTTAAACCAAAACTTTTACTCTGTTATTGTCCACGACATCAAAAAGTGAAAATCGATGACAAATAAACACATTTTTTTCATTTCTCCGTAAAAGTTGAAAAATCAGATCTTAAGTGAACTTTAAACGTACAATTATTTATTATACTGATGATATTCATGTTTTTATGATATTTTTGTTTTATTTTTAAATATAATGATCTCAACATAATAATACAGCACAGATTACTAAAAAATTAAATAGGTATTCATATCAAAGCATAAACCACAAATTTCTACCTAAACATATTACAAGTACCTATGACAGTATACTTATGACTGTAAAGAAAGAAAGACACAATCCCTATTTAGTAATTATATCCGCAATAAGTGCCACATGAAGTAACTACCGAACATTTGTGGTAAATTTGAAACCAGGCATCCCCAATGAAATTTGTGACGCATTGTTGTTATAGCTATCTCAGTCATACATAGTGCGTTTTCCCTCTCACTGTCGCGCCATTGGCTGGTAGGTTTGACCTCTCTGGAATATTCTACTCTAAATGGAATTTCATTGGTGCAGCGGTAGATCTTTCTAGACCGTACTAGAGCGTGATTGGCTCGCAGTCTTGGGGTATAAATAGTGCCGAAAAGCGCGGCAAGGCATTCAGTATTCGAATAAACTCGGAAGCGAAACAAACAAAACTCGGTGGAAACACCCAAACAGTCTACGAAGCTACAAAGTAATCGTCACATATTTGGATTGGAATATACGAAAAGTGAATTTGAAGCCACAATGCCAGCTGTAGGAATAGATCTTGGAACCACATACTCGTGTGTCGGAGTTTGGCAACACGGAAACGTGGAGATCATCGCTAACGACCAAGGCAACCGAACCACTCCATCGTACGTCGCATTCACAGACACAGAGCGACTGATCGGCGATGCCGCGAAGAACCAGGTCGCTCTCAACCCCAACAACACGGTGTTTGACGCGAAACGACTCATCGGCCGCAAGTTTGACGACCCGAAGATCCAGCAAGACATGCAACACTGGCCCTTCAAAGTGGTCAGCGACTGCGGCAAACCCAAGATACAGGTCGACTTCAAAGGAGAAACCAAGAGGTTCGCACCGGAGGAGATCAGCAGCATGGTTCTGACGAAGATGAAGGAGACGGCGGAAGCGTATTTGGGATCGACGGTGAGGGACGCAGTGATCACCGTTCCCGCCTACTTCAACGACTCCCAGCGACAGGCGACCAAGGACGCGGGGGCCATCGCCGGCCTGAACGTGCTGCGCATCATCAACGAGCCCACCGCCGCCGCCCTCGCCTACGGCCTCGACAAGAACCTCAAGGGCGAGCGGAACGTTCTGATCTTCGACCTCGGCGGCGGAACCTTCGACGTGTCCATACTCACCATCGACGAGGGCTCACTGTTCGAAGTGAAGGCCACCGCCGGCGACACGCACCTCGGCGGGGAAGACTTCGACAACAGACTCGTCAACCATCTGTCGGAGGAGTTCAAACGCAAGTACAGGAAGGACATTCGCAGCAACCCGCGCGCCCTACGCCGCTTGCGCACCGCCGCCGAGCGAGCCAAGCGGACGCTGTCGTCGAGCACGGAGGCCACTATAGAGATAGACGCGCTGCACGAGGGCATCGACTTCTACACGCGAGTGTCGCGCGCTCGCTTCGAGGAACTGAACGCCGACTTGTTCCGGGGCACTCTGGAGCCGGTGGAGAAGGCGCTCAAGGATGCCAAGCTGGACAAGAGCTCGATCCACGACGTGGTGCTCGTCGGCGGCTCCACGCGCATTCCCAAGATTCAGAGCATGCTGCAGAACTTCTTCTGCGGCAAGCAGATGAACCTGTCCATCAACCCCGACGAAGCGGTGGCATACGGCGCCGCGGTACAGGCGGCCATCTTGAGCGGCGAGCAGCATAGCAAGATCCAAGACGTGCTGTTGGTGGACGTGGCGCCCCTATCGCTCGGCATCGAAACCGCGGGCGGAGTGATGACGAAGATCGTAGAGAGAAACGCGAAGATACCCTGCAAGCAGTCGCAAACGTTCACCACCTACTCAGACAATCAGCCCGCTGTTACCATCCAGGTGTACGAGGGCGAGCGCGCCATGACAAAAGACAACAACCTGCTGGGTCGCTTCGATCTGACCGGCATCCCGCCTGCACCACGCGGGGTGCCGAAGATCGACGTCACCTTCAACCTGGACGCCAACGGCATCCTGAACGTGTCGGCTAAAGAGAGCAGCACGGGCCGCGAGAAGAACATCGTTATCAAGAACGATAGGGGGCGGCTGTCGCAGGCCGAGATCGACCGCATGCTGGCGGAGGCGGAGCGGTACAAGGAGGAGGACGAGCGGCAGCGGCAGCGGGTGGCGGCGCGCAACCAGCTGGAGTCGTACGCGTTTAACGTGCGGCAGGCGCTGGACGAGGCGGGCGACAAGCTCAGCGAGCAGGACAAGGAGACGGCGCACCGCGAGTGCGACGAGGCGCTGCGCTGGATCGACAACAACACGCTGGCCGAGCGCGACGAGTTCGAGCACCGGCTCAAGGAGCTGCAGCGCGTGTGCGCGCCTCTCATGAGCAAGATGCACGGCGCGGGCGCGGGCGCGGGCGCGCAGCAGCGGGCGCCGCACTCCGGGCCCACCGTCGAGGAGGTCGACTGAAGCGCTCGCCGCTCGCACAACGTTCCAAACCCTACGATGGATCTCCACCAGTGTATAATATTTGTAAATACTCTGTACAAAATAATTTATTGTAGTCTTTAAGTTGACCAGACTGATTAGTTCCTATGACTTTGTTGAATTATTATGTGTGTTTAAAGTTAATTTATTATTTGTGTCCAAACAGATGTAATGTATAAAAAAATAAAAAAAATAACTTGAAAAAACCCTTTTTTTCTGCATCCCATTCTCCAACTAAAGGCTAGGAACAACGGTTTTCCCTTTAGAGTTGAATCGCCTGTCTAGGGAAGTAAGCTCTATCCAACTGCCTGACAATAGACCACACACCATAATGAAATAGCAGTCTTTTGAGTGCTGTGTATCTTTCGTTGAATAAGGTCCCACAAGCTAGGGGATAGACTTAGGGACAGGAAACGCACGAGTGCTACTGTGCTAGAGTCTTGTAGGGTATAGGGGCCGTTTATGATCAGGCAATCCATTGTTTATATACAGTATCATATTATGTTTACATTTTTACAAAATGTGAAAGTTCAAATCACGCAATTTATATTAAAGAAAATATTACTAGAAAATATCAACACGGACCAGGCAGCAGACGGGACGCGAACCCACACCCTTCGCTATCCGGGCGAATGCACTGGCCATTATGCTACCGCGGCCCTGATGGCCATATCGAATTTTTTCCAGCCTTTTTTAAGCTGCAAGGCAGCGCCATCTCTTCGCATTGTAGATAACCCACAATATCAAATGAATACCTTTACAACTACTAAACATTTGAAAGAAGGAATAGCAATTATAGTAATATTTTTTATTTTTCAAGCATGTAACTGGTCGATGTTTAAATCTAAACAAAATAGGTAGCATAATGGTCAGTGCATTCGCCCGGATCATCCGAATAAATACAATGTTCATAAATCTAAAGAAAAGGGTCTCTAATCCCTTTCCCAACTATAAAATGCAAAAAGGGTATGTACGCGAAAACTTAACGCAACCAAGCGCCGGGACCGTAAAAAGAATTGTTAAATAAAATATGATTGTAGCCTCTCTCCTTAGCCCTCAGTCTCGTAGCTGCATGAAGAGCCTTATTAGTGATAGGTGTTCACTAATATATATTGGTGTTTGAGAACCACTAACTCTAAAGTGCATGCTGTTAAGTTTCTTTTGAGTGTCATTTTTATTAAAGGTGATTACAGATGCCAAGAGCTGGTCACGAACCCGAGGACACGCAAGCTGGACGACAATAGATCGTGGCCGTTGTGTATTTGTGTTAATTTTTGCCACACGGCTGCAGTTCAAAGGACAATGTTAAAATTGGCCTAAGAACCAACACCAATTTGGCATTTATGATAATTCTTAGTATATTTTTTGCGATAATAGTCAGTATTTAGATTGTGACGGACACTTCCAGTTAAGTAAGCTAAATTAAAAAGTTAATAAATAATCTGAGACAATAAATACCACTTTATGTGTATAATCTATGGCAGCGCTGCAAACAAAACACTCTTTTTTCCTAATGCCGGGACTTCACTTCGCTATTCGTATTTGCTATTTTAAAACATGACATCAGTGTGGCCTTTTCATTCCTTATTAAGCATGACAAGGACAAACTGTTGTCAAGTGAAGGGCCGGCATAAAACGCGTTACTCTTTGGTTGTGGGGTTGCAGTTTGCATTCGTAGTAATCTGTGGCTTTCGTGCATTCCAAAGAGTAGTTTACAATAATTATTTTGTAATATACCGGAAAGTGCATTCTCGTTTCGGATTACCCGTTGTATGTGTTTATTTCCAATGGTTTTCCTTTAATTTAACTATTTCGGCTATCTAACTATTTTGGCTATGCCATCGATGTTACCAAAGAGCAGAGCCCTTATTACCAAGTGCTAGTGAACCTGTGCCACAAAATCCTCGAGAGGATCATACTGACAAATTATTCAAGAACACTTGATAGACATTCACGCTGCATATTTACACAATATACATGTGATATACAAATAAATACAATATAAAATATGATAAAATTATGTGAAAAATAGTCAATAAATAAAAAGCAAAACTACAGTTTTTATTTTATTCATGATTCCTACCTAACCAAGTTTTTCTTAAAAGTTATTCTTTAAAATCGCACGAATAAAATGAAGTAGTTGTAATATTAATTCACTTCATACTGAGTTCATACTAAGTTCATAGGTTGACCTATGTTTCATTGAATATTAAACATAACCTCAAAAAAAAATAATTTTCCTAATAATTTAAGTTCTCAGAAGTGTCCGTTAGTAATCTTTGTTTTTATAGTCATTTACTTACGATTTTGAACCTAGAAAATAATATTTCATGATTGTTGGTTCTTAGGCTAACTATGTATGGACGCTGAGCAATGTCCTTTCACTATCACTTATCACGCACCCAACCACAGAACCCAGTTGCTTTACAATAGTAATTTTTTTTACTCTGTTCATATCTTTCGGCTCCATCATCAGATCAGTTTGACAGTACCATATTATTGTATTATCATCAGAACTACATACAGTTCATTACGCTACGATCCTTGAAAGATGGTTAAATTAGTTACCTTAGATTCCATTACATAGTTAGTTACATACAGGTCGACCTAATAAAATCGTGTTAATGAAGCAGAAAGGACCTCACTACTGTAGTAATACTAAGCGAGCTGGAGAAAAAGTGAAAGTGTATGGAAATCCCATTTTAACGCGCTGAGCGGGCAGAAAAGTCTATGAAAATTCAATGTTAACGTGCTGTTTTCTTTTTTTTTTTATTTATGTTCCGAAAAGTGGTCAGTACGATTTTGCAGACTTTGCAATTTATTTTTTAACATTATATACTGTTTTATAAAAATTTTGAAAAAAAGCACTCCGATTATTAAATTTTAACTGAGTTTTTAATTTGTATTCCTATCGACTCGAGACGGCGCGGCGTAGGTACATTACCGATAACTAATGAAAATTGACACCGCCAGAATTAAAAGAAACTACCTAAGCACTATGCCTAAGCAGTCATTGAGAACCTGTTGGAAATTCGCTGTGACTTAAATCCAAAGAATTACATCGAAAGCGTGGTAAAAATAGCCTCACGCAAACTCGGAGTCCTGAACAAGGTGCGCCGCTTTTTCACGCTCGAGCAACTGTGCTTGTTGTATAAGACGCAGGTGCGGTCTTGCGTGGAATATTGCTCGCACCTCTGGGATGGCTCCGCCAAGTACTTGCTCGATGCTTTGAATAGGTTACAGCGGCGTGCGATATGCATCATAGGCGATAAGGAGGTGACTAAACACATCGAGCCTCTTCTATTACGCCGTGACGTGGCGTCACTAAGCGCGTTCTATCTATCGTCTGTACCACGGCGAGTGTTCTGAAGAGTTATTCTCTCTTATTCCAACTTCCCCTTTCCTTCAGAGGACCACGCGCTGGCCTTCGGCGTCACCGTCTAACTGTGGCCACAATTCCAACGCGTACAAAGAAATTTGGTGACTCATTTCATTGTCGCACTATCCATAAATGGAATGCTCTGCCTGCTCATATGTTCTCTCCTTCTTACAACCTGGGATAGAACAAGCAACATGCAGGCCAGCGAGGTGAGGATGGCTGGTGTGGCAGGTAGAACTGCTGTACCAGTTATCTTCACGTCTAGACTTCACCATCACTTAATATCAAGTGGGGTGAAGTCATTTGTCGGACCTATCTATAAAAAAAAACCTTTACCCGTGAAATAAAAAAAAAACAATATATATAAAGCTCCCATGCAAAAGTTTAGTAACTGTAACAGTTTAATATCTATGTATCCCTCGAATGAAAGTGCTATTCCCAACTCGGATGAATTAATGCCCTTGGCTGCGCCTCGTGCCTCAAACTACACCCTCGTCGGTATCAGTCACTTTCTCCTCTCTGTGAACAAAGTACTATTACCTCGCGTTATTTGGGCAACCTGTGTTTGTTAGGCAAAAAAAAATCCACAGTGGCGCCCACATGATTTTATAATCTTGGTTTGGGCCTTCTCACTCATCTGGGCCCGGAACGCAGGGAATATTGAGGTGTAACAACTGACCCGGCCCACACCTTTAGCTTAGTTATGGAATGATTAGAGTACAGATAGAAAGATTGAGAGTAGGTAGGAGAGAGTAGAGAGAAGGCAGTGTAAAATTTTTGTTTCGGTAAAAGTTTACAGACGAGTTATATTATATTTTTGCATAAGTTAGAGTCATACATTTTTAAGTGAAGATTTTCAGGGAGCTACCCTTGGCAAATGGTCCATGATGATTATCATTTATGGTTATCACTTTTATTACATTGCAGGTCTCAAACTTTATTCACTATCTTCGTTACTTTCTGAAATCAAGAATGAAACTCCTCAATTACTTATAACTCCCGGAAACGATCAAGTGGTAATATGCTCTAATTAGACCAGGGTCGATAATTTTAAAAATGGTGAAAAGTGAAAAAAAATTATAGTAGGATGAAACCCATTAGAAAAGGTAGAGAATATAACAAAAATGAAAGGAAAAATAAATTACGGGCGATCTGAGGTCGGGAAGGGGGAGGGGGTGAGTTTTTAAGGGTAAAAAATGGTTAATCTCGATTTCCGGTATAACTGCAAGTCCTATGAAAAAAAGTTAAATGGCAAAGTTGTAGGTAATAAAAAGATCTACAACTTTTGTATCAACACTTTTTTCACATAACCTCAAAATTTATGTGAAAACTAGCAAAAAAAAATATTTTTTCACGAAATTTGGTGAAAACTTACCTTTGTGTGTCCCAAACATACAGTAATTTTTTTGATTTAAAATATTCATTTTTTCACCTTACTTTGACGTAATATCGAAAAAGCACCCTTATTTTCAATCGAAAATTCTCACGTCAAAATATCTGCTTTTTTAAAA